TTTTCCATTAATCGCTATGAGTACACAATGTATTTTAATACCGATATGACCCCGGCTCTCTGCGGCCACGTGTGCACGAAGACGGGTTACAAAGCGACAGAGCAGAATGTAAACTGTGCTGTAAGAAGGCGTGAATTATTGTATGTTTAAAAGTATTATTTGATGTATATAGTTTAATATTTAATGAAAATTAAATGAAGAAACAATTAAGAGACTGATAGTAAAAATTATACTTTACACAAGTATTAATACTTAATACTTCCATAACTAATTGCAATTATTTGCCTTAGCACCTTTTCAATTACAATTGAAATAGAATACAATTACACGGGACAGAGAAATAAATTGTTTGTTTGTTTGATTTTTTAAATCGTATTTCTGTGTCGACAGTGAACAGGCCGGTAAAAGCGATTAAAATTCGAAATGATTTTATGCACTAGTGTTTGAAATTAAGACTAAATCAAAGATGCAATTACACGGGACAGAGAAATATTTTTTTTTTTTTTTTTAAATCGTATTGCTGTGTCGACAGTGAACAGGCCGGTAAAAGCGATTAAAATTCGAAATGATTTTATGCACTAGTGTTTGAAATTAAGATTAAATCAAAGATGAGATTAAGTTATCTTAAAGATTCAATATAAATTTAAAAAACACAATGTTTCATTAGTTGTTGTTTCTACACGATGGATTTAAAACGTGATCACAGTCTTCACAGATATTTGTTTTGTTTACATGGTTTATGACCGCAGGTGGCTGGTCGATGGTGACCTCGGCAACGTGGGATCGCGGGTTGTGTTACATAACTAAAAACATTTAGGTGAACATGGAGAAATGCGTACTGTTAATGATCATTAATTATTCGATGCTTAAAGTTTAATATTACTTATATAGTTATATAGATACATTTAATTCCTTCCTTTATTTGAAGACGTGTTCCCTTTAAATCTAAATTAAAAAAGAAAAGAAAGTTGTAAAGAATAATTTATGAGTGAACCACAGAACACGTTTAAAACCTTATTTAGAAGAAAATTAGCATTAAATACAGTAGGGTATATAATTTATTGCAAGTTTGTTAAAGTTATACACATGAAGAGTTCCGATTTACTTGCCGAATGAAAACGCTTACCTGTTTACGGGACCTGCTTTTTACCTACATATTACGACATATTGCGCAATACTCGAACAAAACATCATTTGTATGAGATCAATAAGGTGTTAAAGAACAACTTTAATTCCGAAAGCCATATCGAAATATTTACCGTTTTTGAGTTATAAAGCGAAAACTTTCAAAGGCTCTAGATCCCTAATTTTAGAGGCCAGCCCCTTTTAAATGGTATCAAATGAAAGCTCTTGCTATTATGCACAACTTTTATTCTACATGTTTTAACAAAATATTTTTAGTTTTAAAGATATAAAGGAAAATATGTCAAAATTTTTGCTCTTTTCCGCGTTCTAACTTTTGACCCCTCTCTAGCGCCATTTTTAATGCAAAAATCAAAAAACAAAAACCGATGTGCACAACTTCAATGCTTCTTCTTTTCAATTTCAAAGGGTTTTGTGCTCCAATTATTACAGTCTCAGAGCCTTTGTCTGGAAACCAGAGGCATAAAAATTTCAATCAAAGGGGAATAACTCGTGAACAGAAGGTAATTTCCGAATTGTATTACAGTATTCTGAGAGTGTTTTGCAAAGTCTAAAAGCTCTGAAAATTTGAACAAAATCCGTTCAGAAATGAGGAAGATATGAAGCTTCAAAGTTGGCGTCTAGGAAAAAAAAAAAAGAATAATAAGAATAATCTTAACCATCAGAATCAGTAGAAGGTCTTCCGTTGGAAACGGAAGACCTTAACAAGGAAGGGCATGTATAGTTTGATTTGCAAAGGAAATTGATATTTTTATTCACAGCAAGAAGTTAAGGGTCTTGTTTGAGTTGGATATGTAAACTGATACTGAATTCATTACATCAGCGTAACTCCGACAGAAAAATTATTAAATTATTAACACACACTGACACTCTGAAGCCGAATGCGTTAAACACAGTAAACAAAATCATGAAATGTATTAAAGTGCAATGAATTATCGTAGAAATATTTACATGTGTAATAGAGAATCAATGTGAATGTATTTCTAACTTAATACATGATCCTCTTTCATTAATAGTGACTTTTCTTTCCTGTTGCACATGGAAAAAACATGACTGTAATTTTAAATGCCGTCAGATGATTCACAAAGCTCAACGAAATATTCGTCAAAACATCAAAATGAGATTTAATTTTCAATATTAGTATACACGTATATTCTCCAAGTTACATGAAATACCCAATATCTATATAGTATACATGAAATGGATTCATTTGCTACTTTACAGGGTGAAAATCTATGTGGCCACTTGTTAAATATACAGTCTTTATCGTTATTATAAGTATTGTTTTTTATTCATTTGTTTCAGTTTTGATTAATATTTTATACCGTTCTTTTTTTCATTATACGATTAAGACTATACATTATAGGTCTCTAACATCTTCTGTGCCGAGTTGCCGTTTGTGTCTCTCTCTCTCTCTCTCTCCAAAAAAAAATCAATATTGATCCAGGCGAAGTGAATGAAGATAGTTTTAGATACAGTCAGTATAAATCCGACTGAGAATAATTTTTTTACTCTTCTGATCTTGTTGTATGTAAATTGATTTCGAATAATTATTCTTAAATTGTTCATTAAAAGTTCAGATAATATACGGTAACTTTGAATTATGTTCAGTTTTTTTTAAGTTGATAAACAAACTTTACTTGCATCTTCAAAATGTTTATCATCTATGGTAAATGCAAGCGACAACACATTCATTTTAATTGTTCTCTCACTTTACCGTAGCTTGAAATGTACGTCGCACACTAACCTGCTAACCCGACTTAACAGAAAATATTAGAAAGAAACCCCTGAAAACCATATTTTTGCAACACTGTAGTAGTTATTGAATTATTATTTTTTGTTTGTTAGAAATTGCAGATAAATCTTAAAAAGTGTGTGTCTTTCCAGAACTTTGCTTTTTACATGTAATTTTTAATTGATACTTGATAAATCATTTTAATTTATCTCATATAAATCTAGTAGTATTTTTTATTTAGAATAGCAATATTTATTCTAGAAAGAGGGTGAGAGATGTGTGTTAAATTGCTCAAAATTGTGTTGAAGAACAGAGATGTCTACCCGTCGCTGTAATGTTGCGTAACTAGCTTCCGCGGCGAGTGCCCTTCTGTATAATGCAGCAGTGACACCTATTGTCTTATTTCCTCGCTACCGTACACACTCGGATCGCCTCAGGCGATTTCTTCTACACAAAGGTGTTTCACAGAGTTTCCGATTGTGTGTTCAATAATTCTGTAATTCTGCTAGTTATCAACTAACAGACTTGAAACATTTCGAAAGAGCAATAAGCACAGTATTACTGTAAAATCAAACCAGTTTATATACTGAACAAAGTATTATTTTCAATCCAAATTGAGTTAAAATAGACATGCATATGATATTTTTTTTTTCAAACCGCTGATTTTTTTAAATAGATCATTTATTTATTATCACTTAATTCCAAATGAGTTGCCGTGCATTACAAATCTTAACAGTAACAATTGACGTATGAATTAAGAAATACGATTTACAAGTGCAACTGAATAGAAGGACATTGACCCTAAATAAATCTCTCAGGTGGGGATCCAGAAATTCAAGATATGGAAATCAACTATCATGTATTCTATTCAAAAGAATAAAATGAGCAGTAACTTAATCAATGAATACTAAGGATCATTGAGTAAATACAGGACATTAAGGGGGAAAAACAAACTGTATAAACTTTAAAACATTCATTAAAATCATCCTTTTTCCGGGGTGGGGATTGGGGTGTGCCTAACTTTTCAATATATATTTTCTTTCTAAAGCTGGAATTAGGGTATGCTTGAGTGTACAGCAACACAAATTGAGGGGGGTTAGGGGCAGCATCTACGTCAAATTAATGTATGAAAATTACACCAAAATGTCTATTCTCAGAAAGAGGGGCGTCCGCATACTGCGGGTCTGAAATATTGTTATTCAAAATTAAATGCATATAACACATCTAATAAGTTTTATTTTTTCATACATAAATAAACAAAAAGAGGGAGTACACGTAAATTAAAGAAATAAGAAATAATAATATTTTTTTATAATCAGTAGAAAAAGATCACTGTAAAACGCCATGATATTTCGCTAATAAATGCAACTAAAATAGTTTATAAATTGCTAATATGCTGAAAGGAGTTTTATGTTTTCCTTATGAAATATTTTTAAATAAATAATTCTACTATACATTGATCACAGGAGTTTTATAAAAATATCACTGGGACATAGTTAAAAAATTATTTAATTTTTGAAAATCAAATAAACCCTCTTTTAAATTAGAAAAAAAATCAATTTCACACATCTGCAGTCTCCCCGAGAGCGAGAACAATGGGGACAGTAATTATCAGTAAAAGTCAGCACTTGTCTAAGTTTTTCAGCAGGGACAGTAAACGGGTCAGTAATTGTCTAAGTTTATCAGCATCGACTAAGATTGTCAGCACTTTTCTAAGTTTATCAGCACCGGCAGTAAAAAGGTCAGTAATTGTCTAAGTTTTGCAGTAAAGACAGCACATGGTCAGTAATTGTCTAGTTTATCAGTAAAAAATGGGAATGTCAGTACGTTTCTGACTTAGTAGTGATAATGGCCTAACAATTAGTATGAAAAACGTCAGTCAGCATTTGACTCAATGATAAATTGCATTTGCTGACAAGGTCATTGTATCGACCACAGAACTTACGAAATGATGATTTTAAACAAGACTGCTGATATAGTAAAAGATATGTATTATCCTACTAGTTTTTTGATGCTCCTTTGGACATTCTATGAGGACACTTGTTTCTAGCATTCTGTATCTTATTAGTATGATATCACCGTCAAGTTATCGATCAAAGTTATATTTTCTGTTTTATTTTAGATACTTATGGTTTATAACGCAAAGGTTTCAAACGTTCATTTTCATCTGACAAAATCAGTGAGGGAGAATCAGGCAATGTCAGCTATTCAACGTAAACTTGAGAGATGGGCGTTTTCCATGTGTCCAGATAGAACACGTGTTGTAGTAGCTCCATACACTGTCCAGAAAATAGACAATGAAAGACACAAGCGAAGTATTGATAGAAGCAAAGACAGAAATGTAGTGAAACAACTGAGAAATAACTGGGAACTGGAGTGGTTAGCAAAAACGTGATAGTCTTTTTTTTTTAAATGAAAGCTGTTTAATAATTATGATTTTAATAATGTTTAAAACTTTTTGTTCATCTTTCAAAGTAGTTCTTTTCTAAGGCAGAGACCATTTAGGGTGAATTCACTATGCATTGCACTTCAGCAAGTTCTAGCGATATATATCGCTACCGACCGAATATTATCAAAATGGAACTTAACAAGTAGTATATGGTTAAAATATAAATTTTGGCACAATAGTGTGTTAATTTATGAGAATATATCACTAAAAACCTATTTTTCGAAATAATTAAGAATTCACCATGGATCGGACAATATTCAGCATGCATCGGACATACGGTATTTAAACCAGAAAAATATCATACCTTGATCTCGGTGCTTTAAAATTAGTGATATCGAAACAGTTTTATCTTTTATTTAAAAATTAACCTTCTAGTTAAATTTGAATGATTATTTCGATCCACAAATGTGAAGAGATTTTAGTTGCATCACATCGCCTTAGAAAGGCCTTACAATGCTAGTAATATGGCAACTCGCGCCTTTGTCTTGTGTGTTATCATCATCTAGTTTAAAGAAATAAATTGAGTCCACTTCTAGTCGTCATATATCGATAACTTGTATTTTCACTGAAAATTTAGAGTTTTTTGTTTTCTATTTCCGTAAAAAAAAAAAAAACCAGCTGTCATTTGGATTTTACATGAAAATGGCAGTGATTACGTATACCCATGCATCGGAAAGTGTCCGATGCATGGTTACATACTAGTCAAAAACAACTCTAAAAATATTCTACAAACATTGAAGTAATTTTTTTTGAAAAATTTCTTTACAGTTATCAATCATTGACAATTTTTACCGAGGTCCGACTTCCGATGAAGTCTATTTAAAAGAACGACAACTCTAAAAATGGCAAAATCGTAGAATTCTGATTACTCCCCTTTGATGATGTAAGATATGACGTAAGGCCATTCTAGTGGTATTTTTATCACAACATGAAAATAAAAATCGGCATCATTAAAATGTTTAAATATTCTCCTTTAAGACAGAAACAAGTAAAAACACGGGGAGACCCAGGTTCAGTGAAGGTTTATGGCTTAAAGTTGCAAGGTATGTGTCCGATGAATGGTTAATTCACCCTAACTGGTTATCTTCCGTAAAAGCTTAAATAGCATGTGGACTTACATTCTATTTATATTTATTGATTTTAAGTTAATGCCTATTTGTAATGTATAGTGCAAAATCTTTTATTATTTATATTGTAAAACAAAGTTTTATTATATTTATTAATCAATGTGAATTCAAGTTTTATCTGTAAAATAGTCTTGTGAAACTTAACAATTTATTCATAAGTAATGATTGTCATATAGAAATGTCCATTTAAAATATTGAAATAAATGAGAAAAAACTACAATTTTTCTAATCACAAAAATTTAAATTTTCTATTCTTATAATTGAAACTGTCAGCAACAAGCTTCAAAGAATTTAAGTCATACTAGCGAAATGAATTTCACTAACAATATTTTCTTTCTTCATCTCTATCAAAAATTTATTTACAAAAGGTTATTTCCAATTTATCTTTGCTTTGTTCCCATCTGTGCGTTGGTTATGGACGCCCTCGATCAGGAAAAAAATCCACAAAATAAGTTATCCAGAAATTAGTTGTAAGGTTGAAAACTTACTTTTTATTTTATTTTTATGCATACGTAGGCAGATTCTTCACCTTATTTAAAGTCGCCCGCGTGGCGCAGTGGTTAGAGCATTCGCTCTAGAGTCGCGGAGTAAGGAGTTGATCCTTACGTAGCGGGTTCAAATCACACTGTGGGGCGTGGAGACCGGTCCTTCGGATGAGACCGTATAAACCGAGGTCCAGTGTCGTAGTAGGTACTGGCACGAAAAAGATCCCTCACTGCTCATGTCCTCTTGTGGAGTAATTCAGTGTCGATCGTCTTGGTAGATGACTGTGTTCATAAATAAAATGATTATTTGTTTCAGGGATCGACTTTAATAACAATGAACACAGTCATCTGAAACAGTAAATAAGAATTGTGAATTCAATAAGTACAAAATGATGGAATTATCAAATGATATGTAAGTAAATGTGTATACTATGCACACATGTACCTCCTAGATAAAATAAAAGATACATGTAGAACCAGTATTAAGCATAATGTAAATTCCGGGAAAAGTCCGATAATCATCTTTAAAATTATAAAGAATTATAATAAAGTCATAATCAATTAATAGTATATTGCTGTGTAGCCATACTTGATTCAAAGTTACTTTGTCATGGTCACTATTATTTGAAGGAAAAGATTACATGTTTATCTACCCCTCTTTTTTGTAACACCCCACTCCACACCCCAACCCTTAACCCGCCTCCACCCGAAATAAAAAAGAAACACGAAAATTTTGAAATATAAGGGGACATATGGGTAGGGAAATATAAAGAAAATGTGACGCCTTATCCTTGTGCGATTGTAAAACCTCACATGCCTCTTATTTCTTCGATGAACTTGTTTCAATAAAAGGTGTCAATTACTCAGACAACAAAAATTTACATGCAAATATAAATTCAGTGTTCGAAAAGCTTTAATGACCTAAAAGTGACTGATTTATCATGTTTTATAAATGATTTATAACTGATCAATATTCTCCATGATCCAGATGTTTAACAAAATCCTGAATCTAGATCTGCTTTTGATGTTTCGCCTCTACATTGTTTCAGGTTCTCAAGAAGTGTTTTCATAACAAACGAGAATTAAAAATTTTCTTGAATTAAATGATATGGCTAAACAGAGGGTTTCTTTAGATAAAAAATGCAAAGCGTTTTTTTTAAATAAACATAATTATACTGATAAAGGTTGCTTTCAGATGGGTTCACTTGAACAGAAGCAAGACCAAAGTATCTAGTCTATTGATTTGAACAATAGACTTTATTTCTATTATCTTTCTGGTTCACATGAAAAATTATAAATAAAATTTGAAAAACGGTTAAGGTTAAAGCAAGATTTAATTCAGGAAAACAAAAAGAAAAAAGAAACAAGTGAAGCAAAGTAAAACTGTTTTGATCTAAACACACTTCGAAAGTTGTGCAGAGAGAATTAATTTCATATGATGAAAGAAAGAATATATTAACAATCAAACGATTAACATTCAACAGCGCGTTGTCTTTATTTACAGTTTCCGTAGGCTTCGAACTGCCTACAGCATCATATGATTGGCGCCTTTCGTTGCTCTATCCATTGTTGATCGAAGCATTTTCAGCAGTTTCCAGCAGGCGTGTTTCATCTGATTTGGGCCCTGTGGGGCTTTCCTCAATTTCATTTTTATGCAGACATGATTCAATGGTAGGACTTCCATTATCATAACCAACAGCTTCCCGGAAAGTTATATTTCTTAGGATTTCTAACTTTGGGGTCGAAGGTTCAAAATAAGCTGAATTCTGAAAGCAAAATGTTTCCTTTGGGTTAGATTTGGACTGCGATTTCTTTGAGTCCTTTATTTTTGCCAGATCATTTTTCACTGAATTAAATGGGTCTGATTGTTCGTCATCCTTGGAATTTTTGTATTCAATTCTGCAAGAAAAGAGATTGAGAAATTATAATTAGGTATATGTAACTGAGAAGCAATCGTCTTGGATATTAATTGTTTTTTTTTTCTGAAAGCTCGTCGGCATAAATTATACGTGAACAATCAAGAACATAAAGAATTTCAAAAACATATTTCATCTGGAAAATTTATTATTTTTTCTTAAATTAAGCCTCACATTGTCAAGATACACTGTGACGATGTTTATACTGATAAGTTTTCTACTTTAAATTGTGATATCTTATTAACATTCTCATATACATGTATTTCAACATCCGATTTGAAAATATGTGTACGAGATTGAAAAGATCAAAGGAAATTGAACAATTACTATGATTAAGCACAAAAATCTTGTGCTTTGAAATACACTGAAGCCTCGTGAATCTGAACAGTTGTAATTCAAAGCAAATTGTTAGGATTAATGAAGCGTCTGGATTAATGAAATGAACAATTTAGCATTGGTCAATATAAATATAAATTATGTTCCCCATTGTTCATCCTGAAAATGAAGTATCCAGACGATGGAATCCAGATTAATGGGGCTCCATTGTGTATGAATAGATGTCAAATTTCAGACAATATGACACAAAACGTTTAATATCATTTGGATTACAGAATAATAGATACTCACAAACTAACAGTGTTGTTGTCACTGAAAAGAAAAGGAAATTTGGAATGGTTCAATACATGATAAAAAAAGTTACTGAAGCATTTAATGAAAATTTCTAGAAAAAAGTACATGTACTTACAAGTCATCAAATGATTCATCTTGATCCGGTGGCAAAGGAGTTGTTACCCTTAAGAAAACATATATACATGTATTAGTTAAAACAATTTAACATGACAAGAAATTATCAAATATGTTAATCAAGACAGAATGTGAAATTTAAACAATTACCTATATGATTTTGTTTTGCACCTGAAGATTCGATACAAGATGACAACTAGAATTATGAACAGTATTGCAGCAACTATCAAACAAGCTACCTCTGGTTTGAGAACACATTCATAACTATTGACTTTGTCTTCACAGTTGAAAAGATCACCACAAGGTTGTTGCTGACATTCGTTAATTTCGTTTTCACACCATATACCCGTGTATCCAGGATGACATGTGCATTTATAAAAATCAAAAGAATCAGCTCTGGAAATGTCTTGGCAAGATGGAGAGGTGTTGAATTTAGGGGAACAAAAACCATAGACACAAGGAGACCAAAGGATGAAAATATGAGTTTCCAAACGCTCGGTATAATACCTGTGACTATCAAAACCAAGAATGTAGTAATAGAAGTCACCGTGGAAATTTTTATTGATAACCATGTCTGCTTCATATTCTTGAAGTGACCTCATATCCTTCTCACCGAATCTGTCATTTAGAAACCATGCATTATCGGTGCGCGTTATAGTTATATTGACATCCTTGGTGTTAGTGAGGGTTGATATGAAAGAAAGAGTTTCATTGTCATCAACATCTGCGAAACCAAAGTTGAACAGGTGATGGGATGTTGAATTGCCTTCGAAAATTAGGGTTAAACTTTTATTCTCCATAACGTCATATGAAGAATCATTATTATGGAAAGCGAACATCGGCATGTCATTTATTTCATTGACTTCAATCCAAATTATTTTCTCGACAGTTGCTGGATATTTAGCATTGTCTGTTAATGTCATCCTAATGCTATCCTTGCCAAAGAAATCTGTTTTAGGGTAATAGGTCAACCTACCATTCATGGTCAGGTTTGCAAATCCAATATCAGAATTTTGAAGAAGATAAAATTGAACAGAATCCATTTCATCATCGTGGTAAGGTATTTGGAAATCGATTATTGGCGTATCTTCCATTGTCACAATAGTGTCAATATCGACTTCTGGTGGTGAATTATAGAAGGACACATTCATGACTGTTAATGTAAATTGGTAAGGGTTTGTAACTGTTACTGCAGCAGATCTTTTACGTCTTGTTAACATATGAAATGTTCCTTGGCATATCTGTAACAAGCAATAGTAATATGAAGACCAGTGAGACTATCGTTTGTGTAATGTTAGACTGATTTACATATTTGATATTTTCTGGAGAAAATGTTACCTTTGTTTTATAAATATCTCTTTCTATAGTTGGATTTTTTATATCTCCTCCACAGTTTTCCCCCACGTGTCGCCATATACCGTATGCTGTCGGAAATGATAATAAAAATGTCAGTAATAATTGTTATAATACGGTTCCAGATTTTAAACTTTTCTAAAGAAGAAAGAAAAATGCTAGAAGCTTATGGGTTTGGGTTTTTTTTTGTCTACAGCTCATTAATACACACCAATAATTTTATTATGAAATATTCTATATATACAACTCTGTGACAAAATAAAATAATCTCCCTTGATTCAAATGCACATGTATTATGAAATTTGAACTACAAAGGTACATGTATTTCTATACTTCTCGTTTCGGAGTTGAACGTGTATGTATCCCAGGTTAGGAGAGCAGGAACTGTAAAATTATCGAAGTCATTCAAATTTATTCTGATGTGAACATCGATAAATTCCATATCTATGGTGGGGGTGGGTGCAATGAAAAAGTTGACTGCAAGAGGTCTTATAATCCTACAAAATAAATAAAGCATGTATATGTATGGTTTCTGGAGAAAAATGGAATTGATAATTTTGAAACATGCAATCTTTTTCAATGTTTTTCTGTATAATTTCCTTCTTACTTGTCGCTGGGACAGTTTTATTTCCAAATATCCATTACCTATTTCGAATTTCACGTGTTGATGGCCAATTTGTGGTATTTGGATTGATAAGATAAGACATGAACTCAAAGGATGATGCTGTTCCATACTCTGCCTGCAGATCAGATTTGGATAAGGAACCAATGGAAACGCCACTTATTTGACCTGAATGATAATTAAATAAATTCCACACAACAATTCTATGAATAAAATAAATGGATAACATTGAAGTAAATTCAGATTGCTCAATGCAAACTTCATATAACTTATTTCATGTTTTTAGAGGAATAAGTACCTGTTATAATTATAACAATTTCTTCCTTTCCATTTATGCGCTCGACTTTCTCTACTCTGTTTTTAGGGAGCCATGCAACTGTTGTTATATTATCATGTTGATTACTTAAAAATAGGTCGTTGTCCTTTCCTGGATATTAGAAATTTGATCGTTTTATTTTGATATTATATAAATTGCAGTTTCATTGAATATAATTTAAAGCATTTTTAAGTAAATATACTTTATGTTTATACCAGTGTTAATCAATGTATACCACTCATTGTTAAATGCAGTTCCAATATGAAGTGTAAAATTCTTGCAATAATGTTTTGCTATGTATAAGAGTCCGAGATATTAAGAATGTCAACAATTAATTTAATTATAATTAGGCGATTAATGTAGATGGACGCACGTTTAAAACATATTCGCTGTGATGAAATATTTGCCTCTAAGTTGGAATATCCAACAGCAATAAGAGAAAGAAATATGCATCGTCCAGGTTCCATCCGGAAGAGGAAGTCACTTTCCGTTTCCATTATTTCTGATTTAGTTAAGTTTTTCCAAGTTCCGGGGTTGAGAGATGCTATGGATTTACCAGTTTCTTTGCCGTTCAACCACAGTTCACCGCTTACAACTTCTGCTGACCCTTCTTTTGTAAGACCTATTACAGTTGGTGGTATAATATCTCCTCCTCCTTCATATGTTCCCGCTTGCCACTCTTCAAGATAGAGAAATATCATGTAATGTTATCTTAATGGGATCCACATTTATTTTACTCATTTGAAGTAAACTTACTGTAGTATTCGGTATCATTTCCTCTGTTGTTCCAGCTAATCCCTATTCTATCCAAAGAGTCTGCAAAAACTGTACCTGTCGCTTGATCTCTCTCAGATGAAAGCAAAATTTTCGAATCTACATCCGAAACGTCTGGTGGAGTAAGAATTGTCGATACATTGCAACTATAAACTGTGGAAAGTCCGGCCTCATTAAAGATTATGAGGTTGAAAAAATACGTTTTCTTGTCTTCAAAGTAAACGTTATCATCCAAAGATAATTTGATTTTAGAAACTGCGCCTACATCTTTTCCCGAAACCATGTCTCCGTCTTCTGTATACTCTTTATTAGTTTTTTTGGTTCCCACCTTAACATAGGCTTTTTTAATTCCACTTATATTATCTTCACACAACCAGTAGGCTCCAATGGTCTTATTAGATCCCAATTTGTTTGTCGGTGCATCCATTCCAGTTACGTCAGGGTCCAAACAGCGAATATATTCACAAACAGGTGGTGTTTCGTCGATAATGACTGGATTTGTAATTGTGGAAACTGTCTGTCCAGCAAAATTAACCATCTTTACGTTAACATAATATTCGGTCATGTTGACGATTTCTGTCTTTGCACTTGCGTTTAAGCCATCATTAGAAACGATTGTTGTCTTCAGATCTAGATTGTCTAAAGTGAGAGGAATAATATCAAATTCTGACAGACTTTTGTCAGAAAGAGAACAGTTTACATCACAACTGAAATTGCATTCGAATAAGCACGGTGTACACATCTTTTTATATAATTGCATTTTCCTGACATTTCCAGAATTATCTACGTTGTCAGAAATTCCCGTCCATATTTCTGCTATTCCACTTTCACCATCATAAAAACCTTTTCCATTTAAGCAATCAATTGTAGCATTAGTAGGTATTTTTAGTTTTGATAGTACAGCCTGAGACCGATACGGATGAATTGGATCAGTAATTGGTTCTTCGTAGTCTTCGAAATTCCAAGTTTGGATGAAAATGTTTAAGTCGGTAGTTTCAAAAGATAGTCCATAAATATTGGCCTTAACTTCTCCATTAATTAAGAACACTAAGTCCCACACTATTTTGTTTTCAGAAACCCTTTTCTTAGTGTGAACACCATATGTCTGTTCTTTTTCAAATGGGTCATTCTCTACCTGGGCCCATCTATGAAACTCTTCATTATTATCTTTTGCCCAAAACAAACAATCCCATAGCTTGCTTCCTTCTTGCTGATCACCTAATACTTGAAAACCAAATCCATGGGACACGTCCGTATTAATCGTTTTGTAGGAAGGTCTGGTCACATTAACCATGAAATCAACAGAGGACCTAGCCCTTTGCATTGTTGATGTCGGATTTTCGGTAGAGCTGATGGGATACGAATCGTTCAAATTTTCATATCCTGTTTCAGAAAAATTGAAGCTGACTCTGTCAAAGTTACTAGATTGTGGTCGTGTAAAATCGCGTGGAAAATTAGGATTTTCCTTTGAGCATGAAATTGTCAATGAAGTGGATATTTTTTTCCCCTTTGCCGCCGATAATATACTTGAATATATTCCTTCCCGCAATGTTCCTATCCAGCCTGAAATTCCACTTTTCAGTACTTTTGTCAGGGGAATATTATATCCAATTTTCAAAATCAATCGATTTTTTTCATTTATGACATTTTCTGTTGAGAAATCTCCTGAGAAAGGGGACCATGTAAAGTCTTTTTCAGAGGGGAAGAGGGTTTGTGTATTATCACATTCGTATGCATCTTCTGTTCTTGCAATTGCAGTCCAGGCTGTGATTCTTGATGTCGAAGATTGATAAAATGTCTTCTCTCCCCATTTATTTCCAACAATAGCCGATCCTACATATGGTGAGCCAGTATCGAGTAGCATTACTGGGCATACCAATTGCGATTCCAGACCAGCGTTGTTACTTGCTGTTATATCAATGTAATAATACTGCTTGGATTCTAAATTCAAACTTGCCATGCTCACTTTTGTATCGTTTTTGGCGCGTATTTCTTTCACCACATAAGAAGATCTAGTCTGCGAAGCGGGACAATCCAAATATTGATTTAAACGAAAAGTAACTGTATTTATTCCACTCTCAGGGTCGTTTAAATTAAGAAGATTAATGTCTATTCTATTCGGATTTGTCACGAAAAACTTTTCTCTTCCGGTTACATTCCAACCATTTACCATGAAGGTCACATTACTTAGAATTGGTGCAGTAGTATCAACAAGAATAGGCAAACTCTCTGACGAGGAACATTTTCCGATTTCATCACTAGCAATTACACTTACATAATAAGACATTCCATGCCTTAGAGACAGGTTTCTAAGAGTTTGAATGGTATCCAGTCCTATTATCTTTGGTGACATTATGTCAAACCGAGAAGAAAATATTTGAATATCGGAACATTGGTATGTTTTATTGCTTTTTATTACTGGTGTATTAGATAGAGCTACGTAATATCCCTTGATACCAACATCAGAGTAGAATCCACTCCATGAAACTGTCATTTCACTGGTACTCGATTGTATCCCTTTTGCTTCTATCATTCCTGGTATTATATCTAGTCGATATCCAACTTTTACGCCATTTGAATAGCTTTCTTCGAAGGCACCAGTTATACTATAACCTCTAACCGTGATATAATATCGTACAGTTTTCGATGTTAGGTTTAAACCCAAAAATGTGTAGCTTGTATGTAAGTCGACATTTGTAAAGTAGTGTATGTTAGTTCGTGTAATATGGTCTCTTGTATCATCTCCGATAGAAACTTCGTAATGATCAATTTTCTGTGTAGGATCTCCAGAAGCTTCATTACCAAAAACATCCCAGTTTGCCGAAAGTTCCGTAAGAGATTCCTGGTATTTGATGTCCTCTGAACCAAGTCCATCTCTAACGATCCCAGAAACAGGCGGCTGAATTGTAACAGTAATACCATCCGATTTTCCCTCTTTAGTGCGATTTAGAGCGTCAGTTATTACTACTTTAACGAAGTACAGGTAATTATTTTGCAAAGTTAGTTGGTCGTTGTAGAAGAAAAACCCATTTCCAGGTACAGCGGTGTAGTTTTGGATGACTTTTCCCGTAAGATCTTCTACCATCCATTCAGCCTTTATGACCGGACAATTATCAGAGTACCTATAAGACCCTGTTACGAAAAAAAATATGAGCATCCGTTTTTGTCAAATTAATAATGGAAACCAATGTATTTTAAAGCCATAAATAACAGATTCTTAAAGAAAATAAAAGCACAATTTCAATTCGAAATCATCTTTGTTTGTTTCATAAATCATATAGAAACGTCAACTTCCACAAATTGAAAGTATATATATATATATATATATATATATATATATATATATATATATATATATATATATATATATATATATATATATGTTTTATTAATCATAATCGTACCTTGAATTACATTTAAACTTGCTTGGAAATCAGCATCTCTGTCCCCTTTTCCGTCAACAACATCAATTCTGGGATCTGGGCTGACTATTATGGGTTCCGAAGTCAAGACACTGTAGAGTCCAACTTTGTTGAATGCCCTTACAGTGGCGTATAACTTTGTTCCAGACGAGACGTAAATGTTATCGATAGTCATATAATTGTTTTCCATGTCTTGATACGCCTTGATATTTTCTGTTGCTGGCTCGCTTCCTAGACAGATTTCAGTCCTAAAATCAAGATAAAAGGATCATCCTTTTCAAAAAGGTCTATCTAGAAGGGTGGTATAGATATCTGTTTCAAACGTTTCAAAGGAAAACTTATCTAAACCGGCAGTCTTGCACACTGACAAAAAATACCGGATAAGAGGGGTGGTCGGTTTTCTGAGAATTCATTATGTAATGATGGTATGTTTCAGATATGCTTGATGATGAATTTGGCATACTAGTAGTATTTATGTTGAATTTTAGCTTATTTTGTAATAAACAATGCACACAAACATCTACGACGGTGTATCAAAACCAATTTTCAAGCAAAAAATTTTGTTGATTAGTTAAACTTTGAAAATAAAAATACAAGCCGTATCAGTATCTTGCATAGGGTAGATGCACAGTGCAGGCACTGTTCACTTATTCTAGTGATATATAATCGGCGTATTTTATAAAGATCAATCGACATTTAATTATCGGCTTGTACCTAATTTATACATAATGTAAGAAATTCACCTCAATTATTGTGTTATAAGGGATAATTCCAACACTTACTGTTCATTTTTTTTTAAATTCCAAAATAAGAAGAAAAGAGAAACGAAGAGTAGCGCTTCATCCCTTTGCCTAAACACCATAGATGTAAATCGCTTTCATCGTTCAGAATTTTGTTTAAATGTTGTGCAAATTAATGATAAAAAAAATTATGAGGAAAATTTAAGTTCTTTAAATCCTGAAAGATGTATTTTGATACACAGTGTTATTTTTTTCGGTTCCTATCTGTTTATTTAAACTTCATGTTTAAGGCCGCTTATATCCATTAAAAGTATGATTCAATAATTAAGCATACATACGGTTTTTCATAAGGCATTTGATACCAAATTGAATTAATTTATGAAGCTAAATTATGTGTACACATTTAGATTCATCTTTTAGACCGGTCAGGTAATTATTTATCCCTTGACAGCAATGGCCAATGTGTCTAGTTTTCAGGGTTGTCTGTTTTATGAGAATTTATATTTAAAAGAATGTTAAGATTTCTGACAGGACTTTAAAAATTGGCCTATATTTAGGGAGAACCGGTTTTCAGGGGAAGGGGGTGGGGTGTTGAGAAGTTTCATTGTACCAGGTTATACCATTATCTTAACATTATATAGTATAAACTTAATGTTATTAATAAAAGCTCAACCATTTGTTTACCTTTCTATTTCGGATTCTTTGTCCTCTATAACAGACACTTTGACATCTACAAAAGACCATGGCAGCTGACAAATTTGCTTTACACTTTCCTTAATAGGGTTTGTCCACGTGACGAATTGTACGTTTTCTATAATTGGTGCTGTGGAGTCGATTTCAATTTTCAAAGATTTTGTTAGAGAGAGATCAATCACGTTTGAAACAGAAAGAGAGACATAAATATAAGAAAGACTCTCAAAGTTTGAAAAACTCTTCACATCAACAGTCCACTTGCTTTGATACGTAGGAAGAGTGACGTTTTGAATCAGATCTTCCAGAAGTTCTTGGGACCCAACACGGAAAGATATTTGTTTTACTTTACTTTCTATCTCCATAATTGTCCATGAGCATTCAATAGAAGATTTTTTAATTGATATCGTATTTGTGCATGTGAAAACATTAATTGTCGGTGGTGAAATATCTGCAATAATTGGCAGTGAAGTTGAGGAAGTTGAAAATCCAACGTTATCCTTCGCAAAGACATTCACAAAGTATGTTACACCAGCCTGTGGTGAAAGAACACCTGGTGGAATTTTCGACTCTATAGGTACAGATGAAGACATGACATTGTTTGTTAGTGGCAACGACCCAACTGAATAATTTTCAAATTGTAATTCGGACTGATCAGTAACATTCCATTTGTATTCGAAAGAATCGACGTACGACTGAAAGAAGCACTGAGACACTGAATCAAAAAAGTTATTTTCGGTGTTTACTGGTACTATATTTGAGATTTTGGGAGGGCTAAAGTCAGTGGTAATTCCATCTGATGTTGACACAATGAATTCTTCGTGACAGTTATGTCCCGTCTTTGCTCTGACTGTGATATGATATGCTTGATTTTCGTTCAATTGCACATGGGTTTGTGCTTTGCCATGGGTTTCATTGTGAACAATGCCATATTCTGTATATTCATTTATATCAGAATAATAAGGTTTTGATCCGATCGCCCATTCATACTTAACAATATTACATAACTCACTTGAAAACCCTTGGAAATGCATAGCAATACTGAATCTGTCGTTTGTATTATCTTCATCACTGAAAGGCTCTCGGCCATCATAAATAACCCCTGGCACATTTTCCTTCAAAATCTTTATTGGCCTTGAATATAGTGGCAATGATAGAATACCGGCACCATTTTCAGCTTTGACAACGACATAGTATATTTCACCAGATTCATAAAAAGTTAAAAGAGAGGCTTTGATATCTGCAGATGTTTCTGTTTTCATATCAATATATCCATTAGTTGCGCTTACGTCTCCTTGACTTGTTCCTATGGCAACATAAAATTTTTGTATGTGACTCTCTGGATCATCACCAATCCAGCTTACTCTAATAGAATGTAAATTAGCATGCTGCACATATCCATCCTCAACTTCTTCTTCCTCATCCAACAACCCTATGTGTACCTTAAAACAAAATTTTCAGAACACACTGCAAGATTGATAAATTGACTAAACAAGGTAAAATTAACAAACACTAATGCTGGATAACCTCTCCATTAGGCAAAGTATTTATAACCATATTTATAAAGCATCAAATACCAGTTATAAATATACATATAAAAATAAATTTCACCTTTGACATGATTGGAGGAGTTGGATCTATGGTTACGCCTTCTGATTCGTGTTCTGTAGAGAGATGTGCTACATTTATGGCTGCCACATGAACAGAATAGGTAGCACCTGTTAAAAGATGTTTATCTAAATCTATAGCAGTTGTACCAATGCTGGAATTGGGAAAAACTGTCACATACATCTCTGTCTTTGGCCAAAAACGTTTCTTCATTCCATGCAAGGATTCCAAAACTGCATAACGATATTCTTTAATCCCCGACTCCTCATCTTCAAATTGCCATCTCAAATTCAGAAAGTTATCATAAGTCTGATATCTTCTTTGGTGAATATTGTCTAGGATGAATATCAAATTTGGAGGCGTGTGGTCAACAATAAATCCATCTGTAAGAACATTCTCCGAAAGTCCCGCTTTGTTGAAACTGTCAACCTGGAAATGAACTTTATCTTTGTGATCCATGCTGATTGAATGATCTTCGAAAGTTGTCTTTATTGAAGCGTCGAATGTTTTAATCTTCGCATCGTTTATGTAGACAGTTACGGTGTACTTTTCTACTCCAGACTCTGGATCAGTAAAATTATCCCATGTGACAATTTTGGTAGCTGTCTCTGATGAGAATGATATGTCCTCAGACAAATCAGGACCATCTACTGCATAACTCGAAAGTGGTGGTGTTGTGTCAACTAACACTAAATACCAGGAAATAAATGGTATATAAGCGCATTTTAGTCTTGAAAACGACAAGTACTTCTATACGTATAGCGAGTACATTAAGTATCACAAAAGGCAAAAAATTATTATTTCCGCTAAAATAATTATAGTACGTTTCCAATATATATAAACATTGAAAGGTAAGGTTTTTATTTTCAACTTGCCAAATATATATTACCTCCATTGGATGTACCATTAGAATCTTTGGAATTCAAGGCAGCATTGTAGACAATGACAGTGGAATAGTACTGTGTATTGTGCTGAAGGGCAATCTCAACACAGGAATGCCTCGTGTTGTGTGAAAAATTACGAAAATTCATTATATCGTCTTTTCCAGGAAAAGTTCCTATCCCCCATCGGAAACTAAATTTAAAAAAAACAAGAGCAAGTTGAATTTTGACATTCAACATCATATCTTAAGAGCTCAATACCTTTCCAGCTCGAGGAATTTTTCATCTGTAAAATCTAATACGTCGCTTTTATCTCCTAAATTCAATAATTGTTTAATAATTCTTCAATGAATGTATGGCGAATACAATCCTTATTATGAATCTCAAACAATCTGATTGATTGATTGTCTCTATTACGTCCTTTGCCAGAATTTTTCACTCATATGAAATGTCCCAAAATACCGCTGAAAGTCTTCAAATTATGACCTTTCCTCGGCACTCAGGGCCATTCAGCAGTGAGGCTTCTTTATCGAACAAATGCCTTGTGTGACAGGGACCTTTCAAGGACACTAGACTACTGCGACGGTCTCTTAAACAGTTTGAAAAGCTTTTATATAGAATAGTATTGGCATATATCATAATTAAAACATTGTCAATTAAGGTTTAAATGTTTAAAAAAATGAGTTAAAAACGTATTAATTGGGAAAAAATCGATTCAATCAGACTCTTTTGTATTATTACAGGTAGGGAATTTGGACATAGATATCACATAATCTTGTTTTTTTTATCAATGAATGAAAAAAAAAGATTAGTTAGAAGTATCAAAGTGGAAAATCGATTGATGAAATCGATAACATGAGGAGATAATTAAAAAACTCAAACACAATACATGGAACACTAACTGGTTAATCCCTGACTCGGGGTCGTAAAAACCTGTCCACTGGGCACAAATCTGCTTATCACTTGATTGATATGTCAAATCATGATGTAAGATATGACCATCCAGTACTCTTCCTGCCACAGGAGGTGATCTGTCAATCAAAATGGGCTCAGGACCACTGCCAGCTTTAAACAACCCCACTGGAAGAAAATATTTCTGATCATTTTGTGAAGCAAACTTACAGCGAAATGATATAAGAAGCATTAACGAACCAAAACTTTTATCAATCATATTTTAGAAAAGGTATGTTGCGATAATTTCGTTCGTCTAACCTCGTCTTTACGTGCGAGTAAATAGATATCAAAAGAAATAAAACTTGCCAGAAATTGAACTATTTATATTTATTTTCACAGATGTAACACATTACCGCCATTATCAACTCGCACTCGAGGCCAAACAGGGACTCCTTCCTCTAAATCTAGCTCTTCAATGACAAAGAACGGATCATCATCCCCGTTCATTGGCACGTGATATGAATACTTTCTGACAAGAACGTCATATTTTGTTTTCCCAAGTCCGAAGTCTACGCTCCTAAGTAAAGACTCTTTATCACCAGCTTTATAATAAATAGCAAGCATATCGAAGTGCTCATCGAAATAGATTTGTTGAACACCATTAAAGAAAGGTGGTGTTGTGTCCACGATGAGGGGAATGCTGTGACACACAGTTGTCACCAGTGAACCACCAAATACCACGTTGTTGACACACTGGACTGTCATGAAGTATTTCCCATCCTTAAACCAGACATATGTATAGATTGCAGTTAAGCACAGTAAATTAATTTTGAAGAAATAGTGCATAAGAATTTGATTTTTTTTTAAATTTTGAATAAAGGAAAACCATACCTGTAAAAACAGATCTTTCTCATAGCCACTATGTGTCCAGTGTTTAGCACTGTGAAGAAATTCGTGTGGATCAGAAAAAATTACCACATCTTGATTACAAACTGATTTACCAACAGCCCATGTATACTGGTAAATACCAGATTCGTCATCATGAAAGCCATCGAAATTGACTGGAAAAAAATGTCTTATTTCAAGGCATACATTTTTGGCACATTTGTTTACCATGAATCAATTATAAAGACACAGCCATGTCCATTTAATGTGAAATAATCATCTATCCAACATCATTTTTTTTTAACTATCTCCATATTTTGTATTCAGAATGAGATCAACGTAAATGTTGATAATTTAAAAAAAACGATTTTTAAAAATCGCATCTAAATATATATTAAGTACAGATGATACAAACAAAAAAAATCAATTCCTGTATTGATATATATCTTTTTCGGACATAATTTGGTTGTAATAATACGAATATAAATATTACTTCCTATGTTGTTAAAAAAATCTTCCTTTCTGCCTTCATCTTTTTAAATATATGCAAATATTTATGACTTTTTATTAGGACCTTATTGTGAAAATTGAATGAAAAATTTAGCTTTTTGTGGCTGAACATTCATTTCACATATTTAAGGAGAAACAGGACCTTGAGCTGAAAAAATCTAGTCAATCAATCAATTCTTTTCATATTTTGTGTATTACATATACTCATTTAGTATGCTCTTCATATCTTAAAGCAATTCTGTCATCAAATTTCTTGACTTAATTATTTAATAATCATCGCCGCACAATTTTTTTCTCTCTTCAGTGTCTGTATGAGTTCTGATTCCTCATGTTTACTGATCCACTGTTGAGTCTATACTGAGAATTTTTTAAGCTAGAATTAAAAATAGGTATGATGACATGTACCTCTTCGAATATTTTGCAATATGAGTTGAGTTTAAAATTCTGAAAACTTTTTTTATTACACTGTGCTGCATATATATGGATTAGATAATTTGCGCACTTTCAGATAATTAATCAACTGTAGCAATGTCGAAAAGTAAAGCTTACCTCAGTATTGTACAAGGCATTGTTGAACAAGATATACGGTAAGCGTGATAAAACGCTCTTTATCCTTTTAAACTTTTAAACAGTAATTAATTGTAACTGTAATTAAACTGTAAACAGTTTCAAACTTTTATCCGAGTTAATCCGATTTTAGCTTATAATTTGATTTCAAACGCGTATTACATCATTACCCTATTGACAGGGAATCAGGAATAATGATGGGCCCCTTTCTGAAGTTAGGGCTATTTTGGTGATGTAGACTCCCATAGACTTATAATTTGTTGCCTTGTCAATAAACTAGCTGAACTCAAGGGTTTTTATCAAAGCAAACAGTTCAGGGGAAAATTATCTACTGATCTAACCCATTTGAAGGTGTAGTGGTTCTGGAGGTACCGGGCACGGATTGCCGTTGCTGCAGGCGGTGGATAGCATGTGGAGTTCCAGGAGGATGCCTAGGTGTCAGGGTCAGTATGTCAACGAGTTGGTGAGTGAGGGCCAACGCCCTGTAACACATGTAGCTTGCTGGTCGAGTTAGTCGGAGGTTGTGCGACATACTCGTACCGGGAGGAGCCTCTCCCGGATGACGGTAATCCGCGGTGGGTAGTAGCCCAGGGGATCCCCCCAGGAGCCGCGGACTTGATCCTTCAATCCGACATGACCCACGTAGTCGGGCATTGTCGAGCTAAGAACTGGGTAGTAGGAGAGATTGGTCTGCATTACTCCGGTTCAGCCACTTAGATGCATCAGAGGTTTATACTAGCGGAATTATTCCACCAGATGACTTTTAGCACTGGTATGATCTTAGTTATTTGGTAACACGCGGCATGACATTGTGGACGTTTGTGCCCACCTTGGTGCCGTTGTTCTTGTGAAGTTTTTCCGGAGGACCGGAACAGGTGATACTCTGGATAGATTCGGGTAGACCCGTGTTCTTCGGGGTCAGAGGTAGTATCATGAGGATGTCTTGGGTGCAGTTGTCTGGCGTGCGCGTCATCCCTGCCGACAGGTTGCTGGTTGAGTCGGAGAGTCCCGACTCACCATGCGGAGTTGAGTATCCGATGGGCCCTTGGCACATCTGAGGGGTGTATCATCAAGTGGCCGCAGTTAGGGGAGAAGATGTCGCCCGACTCGCGGGACGTGTGTACCAAATTTTTAGGGTGTTCTTTGGGTCCCATTTGAGGGGTTTTATGTAGATGATTATTTTCTTACCTGTAATCCGGGATATCCAGATCCCGGAATTATCCTTTAAATTACCTGAGATTATGGTCACACAGTAGTGGCAGGGCTTACCAGTGTCGGGATGGAGCATTCATGACGGAGTCATGGATGTGGTATCAACGTTAGATACCATGTCTGTCCTGGGTGTTTGTGGATGTCCTGTATGCAAGCTGAGAGGATGATGACAACGTTGGACGACAGGAGTCTGATCAGCGAGGGACCACGTAGTGGACCGAGACGACTCGGGGTGTGATTACGATGACTGTGGTGTGAACTGTGTAAATCTTATACTATTTTAATCATGGACAATAATACGTAATTGAGATTGATATTGTGTGCTTGCATGTTTATGTGTAAATGTGTGGTAGGACCTGCTAGGTGTTAATTTATTTTACTTCGATGTATATTATAGTTTGTCCCATTGTATTACGGGCTGGGACGCCCTTTATCAAAATGGGGAGAAGTGTAGTGGTCCTGGAGGTACCGGGCACGGATTGCCTTGCTACCTCCGATCAGGTGGTACTTTGCGAACCTGTTGTGACGTGTACCCACACTCTGTCTCTTTATGCTGTGAACCCTGAAGGTGTCAGACGCATATTCTGTAAGTATCATCTGTGTTGATGTATGATTGATTGATTGATTGATTGATTGTATGTTGTTTTACTTCCTATTTGAGAATTTTTCACTCATATAGAGACGTCACAATATACAAGTGAAATGCTTAAAATTTTGACCTTTAGTCGGCAATTAAGGCGATTGAGCAGTGAGGGATCTTTATCGTGCCAACGCCTGCCGTGACACGGGGCCTCGGTTTTTAAGGTCTCATCAAAGGGCCCACAACTTTCACTTCAAAGTCCCGAGCGCATGGCGAAGGAACAGTTGCTACCCATTTTTTATCGACTTAGGTCAGTGGAGGCAGAGATTCAAACTCACCGCCCCCCGTTCACGGAACGAGCGCTTTACCAACTGAGCTACCGTGAACGATGTGTTGATATATAGCCGATATAGCTAAGTTGAAATGTACGATTTTACTCAAAAGTATTTTCTCTGTTTTCCGCCATCACAGTAGTAGATGTAAAGCCTAGAAAAATACTATAAAAGCTTTTATCTAGGTATTTTGAAATATAATGGAAAAAGTGATAACCTTGGTACCATTTGGCAGACTATACTAGCTGTATTGATAATAAACGGGACAAAGGACAGACATCGATACCCAGACTTTTTTTCTGGAAAGTGTCGGTATAAATATAAAAACAGATCATTAGCAATATTACTGAAAGAAAATGAAGCTCTAACAAGTGAAATGTAAACTCTTTTCTCTGCGTATACTGTACAGTATATATTCTACAGAAAAATTACCTGATATATAGTGATTAGATCTTGTATACAGTTTATCCCTCAATGGTGTGTGTCCATTGAACACAGTCGATGCCCCTTTCCCATCAATTATGTGTCTAAAACACAATTCAATTACGTGATAAACAAAGATCGTTTAACAGACTTTTTAAAATAATATTTCAACTAGCTAGCCAAGGTACATGTACCAGGAAAGATTTATCATAAAATACTTTTAGAAATCGACAAATTGTTCATTACCTGTGGTTTTCCTTCCACGTAACTTCAACACAGCGTTGTGCAACTGAAGCTTTGCATCCATCTGCAGAAAACGTTTCATTAAATTCTGTGCCTAAAGGTCCAGTACTTGGTGGAGAAAAATCGACCATTGTTCCATGAGAATGCAAGTATCCAACATATCCAAGAACATTAGTTATCCTGGCATTGATATAATAAAGAGTGCCGTGTTCCAAGGGAAGCTTTTCATATCTTTCAAATGAATTGTATCCAACTCCAAGTCTTTCATAATTCACGAAAGTACCACTTCTTCTTAATTTTGTGCTCGGACCATGTACAACATTTTGCAGTTCACACGATTCTGTGAAGAAATCATAATCAAAGGAAACACATTTCTTTCCTGAATTTATACAGTTTGTTGCACAGTCCTCGGGTGTATGGGTAATGTTAACAGCAAAGGGTGTACTTGTAAGTTTGCCAGTTTTAGGAACACTGAAGTGTTTCAAATCATTTGGAATTCCTGTTCTATATGTGGATAAATCTAAGGAAAGATTCTTCCAAGATACTATTTCGCTTCCATACATACCGGAGGTATATCCCAAGGCCTGACTATGAATTTGCTTTAATTCAGAATCTTCAAATACATTTATGGTAGCAGTCAAGACGCTTGGATGAGAGCTGTATATATACGAGGGCTCGACTCGTCCTTCTGGTACAGTATTGTCATACGTAGGGAGCATGCAGTACACTCGAGCATCCAAGCCTTGGCTGTTGACTGCTTTTACAGTCCAATATAAAGGGGTTCCATTTGGCAAGTCATTTGTTTCTACATGCACAGAAAAGCCACCCATTTCTGTAAAATCTAAAACATTTGTACCTCCCTGTTGAGTCCCAATGGCATAATATAGTTTTAAACTGCTTTTGTCATCGTCAGCAGCGATCTGTAATTCATATGCTGGGATTTTATTATTTCGACCTGGAATTTGTCTTATCATACATTTTTCTGTCGTTTTCCTTTTTGTACGACTCTTCTGACCAGGTAATTCAGGTTCAGAAAAAACTGGAGGAGATCTGTCTTCTTCATCTTTTATATTTGTGAAGATATTTGCTGATTCTGGTTTGACAGAATATTCCCAAAGCGTGCCTTTTAATATGGGAATGGTAAATTTTAAACAAACAGTAGGAAAAATGCAGACTTTAAATTCCATATTGCAATATGCTTCCAATATTAGACGAAATGGGGTGATTTTAACATCCAGACTTCCTCTGAAAGGTAAAGAAGCTAGAAAAATTCTTTTGAAATTACTATAAGGTGTTTGATGAGATGTTTTACAGACTTTAAGAAATGCTCTGCAGCTACAGCTTCCTGAAAGACGAGAAAACTTTAAGTAGATAGCAGGATATTGGGAAATTCAACACTGTGTCTTCAAAACAAATAAAAATGATATATACAGTATAATAACTACATTTCTATTTGATAACCATTTTTTAAGTTAAGTGTACTAATTTCTTGACATTTACAACTGAATGTAAATTTTGCCAAATGAAAGGTATTTTTTAAGCAATCTAATTAAAATGATATGTTCCGAATCCGCTACCGCTTCTCAAACATCTAACAACGTCCCATTCGGGGTCACGTCAGAGCGACCTTTCGATTATGAATAAACATGAACATTTTGGCCAATCAGATTCGAGCTTCTGTATACGATTCTAAAATTAGTTCCACGGCTATATCTTAACAATAGTCTGTTTTGCGTTGAATTAAAGTAAGTTTGGTATGAATTGAATATATAATCCGCCAATCTGGCATTCTTACCTGAATAACGCAAACGAAAATGCACAAACTATACAGGGTATCCCGCACGTCACATTCATACATAGCACGGCCTTTGCCATGCGTATTTTGTTTACTACGAAATTCCTCGGGCGTTTAGGTTTAGCTGTGAAAATGGAAACCCATTCGAAGTATAAGTCAAGATTTCGGAGACAGCGATTTCATTGGCTATTCGAAAGGTCTCCCTGACGTGATCCCGAATGGGATGTTGTTAGATGTTTGAGGAGCGGTAGCGGATTCGGAACATCTTAATTTAATTATATTTTTTTTTTAAGTTTAGTGTATTAATTTCTTGACATTTACAATTAAATGTTAATTTTCCCAAGTGAAAGGTAAAGTGTCTGTCCATGTCAATTCCTCGGCTGTCATTTTGTCTGACGTCAGTGGGCGGGAACTATGGAAATTAATTTGAATGTTTCTTGTATTTAAATTCTATTAGACATCATTTTTTTTTTATTTAAATTTACATTTTTATTTCACATAAAATTGTAATAAAAGGAATCACTGTCTTATCATAAGTTTGTTCGGTATGCCAGGGATATTAACAGTTTCAAACGTGCAGTAATTTATGCTTATCGGGCTTCCCTATATATGTACAAATAAACAACAAATACAAAAATGTAGAAAGACGGACAGATATCATGTTCCTATAAACACGTTAGTCTTTCCCGTCTGTCTATTTGATGTAAATTTAGTCGACTGTACATCACATTGACTAAAGATTAAGATAAATATATGTAATAATTACCTCACGTCAAGTGGAAATTTGTTGTATGATATTTCTGCTCTTATGGGGAACTCTGTGTTCAGGAGATAACCTGTAAGTTTTATTCCTGCTTTAAACATGAAGAATTGCACAAATGCTCCACCCCATGCTTTAGCAAGCACCAAGGGATTAAGTGAACCCTGTTGTAAGAGATACAGTCATAAGAGACAGCTGTCATATGATATATATATATATATATATATATATATATATATATATATATATATATATATATATATATATATATATATATATATATATATATATATATATATATTTCAAAAGTCCCTTTTTTGGTAATAGAATTAAAAAAAAACCTTTTTGAAATATTTCGACCCTGTTACCGGCCTTCATCAGTCGTGTTTTTAGAATGTATAGCAACTCAACATCGAACAACGTATCATGACGTCACAACGAACATGCAAACTGAGAGGCAACGTCATGTAATAAAATTGAACCAAAACATCTGCAAATGTTGCGAGAGTAAATATTATACTTGCGTAATACTTGTTGATGACATTATATAAATAGTGCATGTTTTTTAGGGTAACAGTTGAAATTGACACCCAAGGAAAACCATTGTCAACCGACGCGTCAGCGGAGGTTGACAATGGTTTTCCGAGGTGTCTCAATTTCAACTATTACCCTCAAAAACGTGCACTATTTATTTTATTATACTGAATGTCTTATTGATTTCGGATGTCATAAAAAACTTCATAGATCGTCATTAAGTTCATGCTTAGAAAGCTTTCAATCTCCCCGCTTCTATTTTTCTCAATAAGAAAGCTTCTGAAAAGATTTACCAACGTCTTTATTGTTTGATTGCTACTCAAAAAGTCCTTTATCATCTAAAGTTTGCACTCGCAAGGATGTTTCGTCTGTCTTTGTTGTTTTCAAGTAAGCTATATCGGACGCAATCTTTTATTGACCTCGTTTATTCGCACAACTGACGTTTTGAAAATTCTACGGTGAAACGTACGCGCATGATTGAACGCATGTGACATTTTCGTAATGTTATCCGTTGTCAAGTATGTTGCTAACGCTGAGGGTAACATAACGGATTGTTAAATGCCTCTAAACCAATCAGATTTTAGTATTTAATATGAAAGTATAATAAAAGTATAATATTTACTCTCGCAACATTTTCAGATGCTTTTTGGCGCAATTTTATTTCATGACGCTGCCTTTCAGTTTGTATGTTTATTGTGACATCATAATACGTTGTTCGATGTTGAGTTGCTATGCATTCAAATAAACACGACTGATGAAGTTCGGTAACGTTGTCGATATATTTTAATAGGTGTTTAAAAGTTTCTTTAATATATATATATATATATATATATATATATATATATATATATATATATATATATATATATATATATATATATACATGTATATATATTCTTACCTTAGCCTTGTTGCTCACTATGCAGATTCCAATTTCTATTTTAAGACCCAGTGATGCACCAATTCCATACTCTGATAATTCAAAAATTAAAAATAAAATCGTGATTTTAGTAGCACTTTAAATAGTTACACAAACTTTCAAAAAATTTTAAAGTAAGTCTTTTAAGAGGAAATCTTTTCAAAACCAAGAATAAGAATATTTTCCTTAACTAACTCTTCGAAACATCAGTTTTGTAATTGTTTCAGCCCCTTATTATAGATCTTCGCTGATTTTCTCGCAAATTTACGACGTTAGAGAATGTCAGACAAAATTACTGACCTAGTGTCCACATACGATGAATATGTTGTTTTGTCGTCATGAAAAAAAAAAAAACTCGTCCGAGTCGAAGTGTTTAATGATCCTAGGATAGTCGTATTACCAACGATCGTCGGAAGAGAGAAAAACATTCATACGATATTCCTGCAATGCTTAGTTAACGTACAGCTATAATGCGACATGTCCATGAATATCATACGCGTAGCGACGACATCCCTATGATCATGTTCATTACAGTCGCACGACTGTTGTACGAAAAAGAGTTTACTAGGTGATGGGATTTACCTACAACTTTCGAAAAAAAAATGTATTCTAGTGAAACATTAATATAACTCTCGTACATTTCCCGTTTGACAAATCAAGAATTATCGCTGGATATTCTGAGAGCCTCAGATAACCAAAATCAAACAAAATTTGTAGGTCTGACTCGATCAGTATTAGCGCATATCTACATCTAACTAAAAAAAATGGTAGCTGCTAGAAACTTTTGAACATGTCATGTAAATTGACAACAAAATTTTGAGTCTAACACAATGGTACTGCATGTCTACGAAAATTAAGTCTGACTTTAAAAACAATTTAAAGATTTCAAAAAAAAAAAAAAAAAAAAAAAATGAACATACCGGGTATTCAAAAATCAACAGCAAAAGGGTTATAATATTTTTTATGCAATTTCATTATTGTAGAAAGCATTTACACAAACGTCCATATGTGCTAAATACATTATTTCGAGTTAACTTAGCGTTGGGATTTTTTTGAAATATTAAATTTGAAAAAGATATTTAAAATATCGGCGTTTAATATTTTGACATTTTCCGCCAATTTTAGCGTAAAATCAAACAATGAATCAAATGAAATAATAACATTTATAATCAAGCCATCATTACATTGTACTCGTCATATTTTTTTCTATTTAATAAAATGGAGTATCTTTAATATTTTTCTCTTTAAAAAAAATCAAGTTGTAATAATTTTCATTTGATAAATTAATTCAATGCTATTGTCGGGTAAAAATTGTTCATTTATAAGAAAAAAATGATTTTTTTTCCCCCAATAAATAAATAAAATGAAATGAAAAATAAAATGAAAATTAAAAAAAAAAACTGCTGTAGCGCGCAAAAGTTATTATGATATTCTTTTAACCAAAAACCGAAACACTCCGTAAGTCGTAGATCATGGAAAGCGTTTTCTGTTTCATTTATCCGGAAATTCGAATTCAGCATCAGGATTTCTTCTAAAAACGTAATATTTCACTGAAAAATGACTCGTTTATCCGAACGGTAATTTTTTAAGGAAACCACTTTCTCAGACATATCTTGCAGTAGGGATAATCGTTGTAAAAACATTGGCCTTGCAGTTAGTTTGAAGGCGGTTACTTGTGACCTTCAAACAATAGCGTCTATAAATAACGTGTGTTTACCCAAAATAAAATACATGTCTATTATGAAGCTGGAAGAATTAAGCTTATACTGTGCATTAATTAAGTAAAAATCCGTTCAAAATCATATTGCTAACGGTATATTAATTCATGAACACATTTATGAACTATCACATTTGGATAGTTGTAAATAGAATGATCAATAAATCACGAGCGATTTCGGAGTTGTCACGAGTTTAGCAAACAACGATTTTCCATTAATCAGAACTGATACATATTTGAATCACATGAGCTTGAATTATTACAAGATATGGCGAAATAAAATTGAAGCTGATCAAAAATTGGTCAGCCCATGCAGTCACACGCAAAAGAGAAAGCGAGTAAAATTTTTTTGTGTTAAAGAAGTTTCCCGAATATTCAATGTGACGTTATTGCATTGTTGCTAACGTCATTACCATAACATTTAACGTCAAATGTTTAAAGTAAAACGTCTCAAAATTTGAAATGAAAGCTCTAACGTTTTACAACTTGTGTTGTCGTTTTTTTCTTTATATATGTGATAGGGTGATTTATTTCATATATTAATTATTATATTTCAGAATTAAATTAATTCAGTTAAACTATCATATTTATTTCTTTACAGCATTTCATTTATTGAATAAAAACACATGGAATTATTTACATCAATCTGTGTTTATTGAGTTATTTTTAGATGTATGACATCACAGTGGTCACTTAAACCCCTGTCCCTTTTCTATATATATCTTGTGTAGTGTCCAGGCCAACTTGGATTTCATTGGTTGGTTTGTTTCCCTCTCTTTTGGTTTTACCTAGTTAATGACTTTTGTTTGAGATCTTGGTCTGAGCAGACATATTGGTTTCTTCATATTTATTTGTGTATGATGACTGAATTATGACAATGACCAAGACAGGACAGAATGTAAGTTAACTTTTACTTATTTCATTATCTCTATTTAATTGTTTATCTGCTAAATTCCCAAATAATAATATTCTAATATAAAGTATGAAAGTTCAGTTTGTGTGATTATTTTATGACTTTGTAAATATTCTGAGTAATGAGTATATTTTATATCTGTGAGAATAAGTGTGTAATACAGTAAAGTTATATTTATATTATTCATACACAGATCACTGAAAAGAGTACAGCTGTGTTCAGCTTTATATATATTGGAGTTATGGCTCTATATTACATATAGGTATGATGTATATATTTTGAATATTGTCTATATAATTATATTATTCTGGAAGAGTTCAGTATAATTTGATCTCATTGTTTTATCTATATATTCCGGAGTGTTTATACTTTGTACATATTATTGATTAAGAAAGATAACTCTTAATGTTTTATTTATGAGCACAATTAAAGGGAAATAACTCTTCATTTGACCGTGCCATCTGGCAATTAAGTGATCTACATGTATGTTTTGTTATAAACTATTTATGATTGTTTATATATATTTCAGAGCTGTGATAATACTGATTATTTTGAGAGTGAATATATTTATCAACAACGACAGCATGGTCATTATTTTCATATAAACGAACCCCATTTCACACACACACACACACACCTATATATATATATATATATATATATATATATATATATATATATATATATATATATATATATATATATATATATATATATAATTTTGCACCTTATGTTCCTTAGTGAACAATTTCAAGATGTTTTCTTTTAACTCTCATGTTAAACTTTGATCCCCAAGGGGTCCTTTCAAATCCCGGGGACCAATATTTTTATATTCTCAAACCCACACTAATTTTGGAAGCAGAAATCATATAAATTTAAATTTGACCTTTTTCTAGATCTGCTTAAATGATTATTTAGAGTAAATGTTTTGAAGAATAAGTGATAAATTTATTTTGTTCTTTTTCAAAATGACGTGTATGTTGAAGAAATGATTTTGAATATCGTCTAGTTTTAACTTACCAAGAAAGACTGGAACTGGGCCAACCATGATCAATGGTGGAGGCGACCCTTCATCGATAGATACTTCTATTGTTGGAAATGGGATATCTGCAGATGCACAAATATCGATCTTTTTTGGAAACTCTTCGCCCATGATTTCAAGTAAGTTCCTGGGTTGGTCAATTAACTGAAAAAATCAAAAGAATATATAAAAATGAAGGATTTTTACATATTTCTTGAATGGAAAGTAAAAAAAAAAACTAACATGAATAATAGAGAATATACTCTTTTTGAATGGAAAAAAATTCAAAAATACATAAAATATGCACTGTTCAGGGAGTTTATGGAATGACTTTTATGTAGTATTGTTCTTGTTCTCGATACTTATGTATGAATAAGGTGATTTCAGTAGAGTAAATAATAAACTTCAATATTGAAAAATCATAGTCCTACTTCGTTCATCATAGCTTCTCTGATTGTGTCTAAAACTTTAAGAATGCCAGGATCAAGTATATTATTTTCAGACAGTTCCGCAATAAACTCTCCAACCGTCATTCTATCCATACTTGACGACATGTTGTTGCTGCCAACATTTGCTGTAGGAGAGAAATTGAATGATAAAATAGAATCCTAATTACCATAGCTCTTGTTTAACTTATCTACATGGACCGTGATAATTCTTTCCAGTGTTGAAAAAAGCAAAACAATTTTCCTCTTACGTGAAGAACAACCTGCATTAAGTTCAAAGTTAAGCACCACTGGTATGGTATGCAGGCATGTTATATAATCATAAACACAAAGTTCTGCAGATATGGAGATCACCGAAGAGAATTCTTTAGTAGAGACGGACACAACAAGTAAGGCAGTTATCAGGCCAGAAACATTTGCCAGGAAAACTCTATCCTGTACTTCACCTCCTAAAAGACATATAGATATATTTTGCATTTATACGTGTAACCTGAATATGTGTGAGATGCAAATTTCGTCATTTTCTTGTCTTTATCAATAAAAGAGAAAAAGTTTGAAATAGTTAGAAAATATTTTGCCATGAAAATATATGTACACAGATAAGAAGTCAGCATTATAATATAATTTCTAAAGTTATTTCAATCTTTAAAATTTCATACTTATACCTAAGTTAAAGTATTTGTCAAAAAGGGAAAAGAATTGTGTCTCAAAAATCCATTGCTACCGAAGTTTGTTGTCCTTTACTTATAACTTTTGAAAGAAACAAGCATAACTTTCTAAAGTTTACTCACTGTCTTTGAAATTGATAACAGCTGGAACTGATTGTGTTATTACGGTTACTTGTTTTAAACAACCATCCATTTTGATATCAACGTTTTCCATGATTCTATGATTGGCATAAGAAAGTAAAACAGCACAAGAAAGTTCATTACAATTACGATGTGTGAAGCAAACATTTCCAGATCCTTTTGAAAGTTTGTTTTGAAACATGGGACAGTCTGAAAAACAAGATTAACCATAAGTTATCTTTTCCTGGATGTCCAGAAACCTAAAACAATTTCAAGGTACATTATACTATATATATATATATATATATATATATATATATATATATATATATATATATATATATATATATATATATATATATATATATATATATAAAAGAAACTATATATACTCTGTATATACGAGGGGTGATCAAAAAGTTCGCGAACTATCTCTATAGAGAACAAACCACAATTCAGATCAAAATGAAATTTGGCACACATATAGTCATACACATGTTCTATAAATAGCAGATGTTATGTAATGTTTTGCTCCATGTTTGTGACGTCACAGTGTGAAAATGACGTCAATATGTAGGTGACTTGTGACAAAAAATGATTGACTCAGTCGTACAAGAGCAACGAACGGCTGTATCTAGGAAATTCAATTGCAGTAGCACATAATAATTTGTACAAGGTTTATGGAGACAAAAGACTTGCCAGTTGTTCAATCATTAATTGAATTGATTGTTTTATTGAAGGAAGGGAGATGATTAATAATGATGTTTGTTCTGTTGCCGAATGAAAGCAAGCTGGGGATGAGATGTGTCCTTAGTTGAGCAATTTGTTATAAAATAATGCCAAGTTACAGTTTGAAAAAAAGTTGAATATCGTAACAATAATATGATTATTGAATCCCTAAAATATTGTTTACTTTAAACTTTAAACATATCAGATATGATAGAAAGAATGCGCTCATACCATATCAACATTTGAAAAACTACGCTCCCAAGACAAAGGACTCGGGTTTAGATGGTCCCAATACTCATTTTGGGAAAGGATATCCTTATCCAACCATCCTATTGCCGAGATTTGGCCATTTCTGACAAATAAACTGTTCTTATTATAAAAAATAACTTCCATGGTAAGAAAAATAAGACTCAGAAAATTCTTTTAGCTTCCGTGAACAGACTGCTGCGGAGCATGTCACGTGATCGCCTCGATCACGTGATTCGTGCATGGGCAGAACGGTGGCAGATGTGCATTAAAATCGGAGAGGACTACTTTAAAAAATAAGGAACACTAAAATTTAATTTCTTTTATGGAAATAATTCAGTTAGTTCGCGAACTTTTTGATCACCCCTCGTATATACTATATATACTCTGAAATTATGACATTTTATTGTCTTTCATAAAGGTATTTAGTTTAATTTCTCAATACTTTGCTAGTATTTCAAACTGTATATACTCTGTATATATATACTATATATACTCTGAAATTATGACATTTTATTGTCTTTCATAAAGGTATTTAGTTTAATTTCTCAATACTTTGCTAGTATTTCAATAAGGGATAAAAAAAAAAAACGTAGTTAAGATATCTTTTCCCTTCATAACATATTCATATTTATTTTGAAATTCATGAATATTTATCAGATTTATTTCGGTAAAAATATCCCGAATAGATTCTTTATGGGTTTTTGTTTAAATTCATACACATAGAAGGTTTTTAGTTCATATTTTTGTCGATTATTTAAAATCAAATAATAAAATGTGCATTTTCTATAAGAGCAAAAATCATTAATTGATATTTTATGAAGAACATCGTCGCATGCATGGCGCAATGGTTAGAGCGTTTACTCTAGAGTCGCAAGGAGTTGATCCATACGTTGCGGGTTCGAATCCCACTGAGGGACGTGGAGACAGGTCCTTCGGATGATACCGTATAAACCGAGGTCCCATTTCGCAGTAGGTACTGACACGATAAAGATCCCTCAATGCTCAATGGCCCCGAATATCGAGTATAAGTCTAAAATTTGCAGCCCTCTACCGGCAATGGTGGCGTCTCAATATGAGTGAAAAATTCGCGAAAGGGACGTAAAACAAACAAACAAATTACATGTAACAACATTAAGAAAAGATTTATTGGTATTCACGAACCATATTCAGTTGTGCCGAGAACTCTTGACATCATGTTTGATTTTAATCCATAAGTTGCTTTAAATGACACCGGACGTAAAATCCGGAGTTTGGAGATAGGCAATCCTTCAAGATTTTGAGCTCTCATTGATGAACGAAGTTCTGTAAGTTTACCAAAAACTATATTCATCTCTGTTTCAACTTTCCCTCCTAGCAGCTCTTTAATCCTACCAAGTGTGTAACCGTTCACACCCAAAATATCACAAAGATTTGGATCAGTCCTGTAAATATATTCTTAATAAATTTGGATATATTATATAAATGAAAATTATAGAAGTTTATCTTTGTATGATAATGCTCTTTAAAAGATAAACATTTAATGGAAATACAAAGTCCTAGCCAAAATTTCGTATTCTCAGTTAAACCATTTGTGTCTTACTTTTAATATTCAGAGAGTAAAATCAAAGTGAAAAGATAAACAGGACAAGATTCAATTCAGCATGGAATCTTGCTAGCAAGTCTTTCATCGTTTGATCAAGAATGTATGATTCACAACGCCAAAATTAATTTTTATGAGTAAGTTGCATATCCTTACTTTTTTGGATTTTCCAAAGTTGAGTACTCATATGAGGAATAAAAGCTAATGTTAAAACGCCTTTATCAGATATTTTTTTTTAAAAAATGATATCTGCATATAATTTAAAAATTTCATCAACCATATGATATTGTCATTATATATCTTACCTGGTAGATGAAGAAGCGAAGAGTTGCATGGATATACCCTTCAAGTCTGTAACTGACTTTTTAAATTCATTTCTTAACTTGTTCCATGCCATGACAGCACGCGAATCATTTAAAGATACAGTATCAGATTTAAAAGGAGTATAGTGGTACTTAAAGGCCGAAGATTTTATTGTTATTTTTGTTTCTTCAAATTTAGGCCTAGGTATTCCCGATGGAAATTTCTGCATTCCCCTTTTAATAGCATCAGCTGATACCACACTAAATTGATGTATATAAGTGTAATCTTTACACTCCCAGATCCATTTTGGAGTTGGAAGCAGGTGGTCCAAAAATGGAGTCGGATCGATGTAAGTGTAGTCAGAATCGTTTTTGTTAGTTGGACTTCTCTTGCGCACTGACACATGTATGCAGTTATATTCGCAGGGTGATCTATCGGCTTTTCCGATGACATCTTTACCTGCCGTAAAAAATTTTCCATTTGCCAAGACTGGAATAATATTTTCTATTACTATTTCAAATTCTTTAAAATCGTCATCAGTAGGCAAGATCCGCAGTCTTTTGTTTTCACTGAAGATGAAACCATTCACTGGACTTCGAATCTGCAAATGAAGTTAAATTATTATTTTTTGAAATACAATTCATCATTTTAACAGTTTGATTGTATGTTGTTTTACGTCAGTGAAGGTTCTTTATCGTGACAACGACTACCGTTACACGAGACGTCGGTTTTTAAGGTCTCATCCGAATGATCCGTGACTTGCACTTCTATCTATATATACATTTTAGGTTTGACAAATGAAACTCAAACCAGGGCCTTCCGGTAACGAAGCGAACGCCCTACCGCTAGGCTGCTGTGACCAGTCCCTTTTTAGAGATGATCAAATGATAATTTTACCCAAAACACAGTTTTGAAAAATAGATTTCATCCCATTGTGTCACTTCGAAAGAATTCGGGGCGACTTATTGTTATTTCTCCAATTATATTTATCGCAGAAGGAAGTTCTCGTACATGCAGATGGTTGGGGTAGTCTTAATAAAACTTCACTGAAATAATAAGCATCAGGTCTAATCGTGTATTAAATATTAAAAACTTTCCAAATGACGTCTACTGCCATGGAAACAGCGGAAACATGAACATTTTCAATTATAAAGAATGAGTTGACTTAAGAGTCCCGAAAAAAGCCAGAAATTGAAGTTTTATTTATTTCTAATATATAAATGACCGATATCTTTACTGTGTATCTTGATACATATACGAATTTAAAAACTTCTTAAAAAACCTAAATCCCTAAGATTTAATAATCAGGGTCTCGCTTTTTTCAACGTATCAATGCATGGACAGTGCATGTTTATCGGCCATCGTATCATCATCATCGCGCTTTCGTCATCGTCATGGCGCCATAACTTCATTGCCATTGTAGCATCCAAAATTGCGCCATCGACCCTTTAGTCGATGCTCGATGGTACGATACTGAACATGATGTGTAAGGAATCAGGATACGGCCACAAAGTTCATTATTTATTCATCGTGCAATCGAGCTTTGATGGGGATGATGCAATGGCGAGATAACGATAATGCAATGGCGCTGTAATGCGATGACGATGTTGCGAAAGCACAATGGAGCGATAGTGCGATGTCGCGATGGTACAATATGATGCTTAATGTGCAGACGATGACACCATGATGATGAAGCCGATGTTCGCTATCGCTTTATCGCGCCATCGTCATCGCACTATCCAACCGTCGCATATCATAATCATTGCATCATAGCTTCCTCGTCATTGCACTATCGAGTTATCAACCTAGCAGCCGATGTTGGATGGTGCTGTGGTAAACTACTTGGCCCTATCCTGATTTCATTAGTATGGGATACAAAATATGAGGTTAAATCTTTCTTTAGAAGAATTTGCCTTGTAGAGTACTATAGAAGACAGCATTCAAGAAAAATACTAAAATATTTACGTCAGAGTAAAATGAAGCGCGCACATCAACTCCCTTTGTCTGATATATGCCATTCATTGTGGAGGGCCAGACACCAATACCACAAGAAGGATCCTCATTTCTTCGTCTTTTGGGAAATTTTACATGAAATTTGGATCCAAACACCTTTTGCACGATATCCCTTGTCTTTATAAATCTACAATGATTAATAGCAGATACATTCTATCCATGGTATATCTTGAAAGTAAAAGAGATTTGAAACTAGCGTTCTTAAAAAATATTTTAGCATAGCTTGTTATAAAATTTGAAAGACTGATGCAATAAAAGCTTGCATTTTTATATATTCTTGTATATACGTGGGGTGATCAAAAAGTTCGCGAACTATCTCTATATTTACAAAACCACAATTCAGACCAGAATGAAATTTGGCATACATTTAGTCACACGAGACAGATGACAGATGACTCGGGTTGTGATGGTCACCATTCATTCTGGGAAAGGATATCCTTATCCACCCATCCTATTGCCGAGTTTTGACCATTTCTGACAAATGGACTCTTCTTTATAAAAATAAATTGCATGGCACGAAATTTAAGACTCGGAAAAATCTTTTAGCTTCTGTGAACAGAACGTTAGGGAGCATGTCACGTGACCGCCTGGATCACTTGATTCGCGCATGAGCAGAACGGCTACTTCAAAAAATAATGAACACTGAAACCTTATTTTATTTCTTTTATGGAAGTAAACTTTTTGATCACCCCTCTTACATTTAAAAACAATTATTTATGTACATAATACCTACAAATAACATTGTTCAAATTATGTCCCCTGTACTCAAGTAAGAAATATAATTACACGATGAATATTTTATTTACAAAATGTTTAGAACACTAGTTCTTAAAAATGCTATATAATTATAATGAAGTATTATGTTTGATTAAGTTCGACCAAACGGTATGACTATCAATTTAGCACTTAATGAATTCATTCTCTCAAGATAGATGTGGACCAAATGTTTCTGTTATAGTAGCTGTAAACTCATCAGTTTGTCAAAATCCGAGTTATTTTTATGCACTTGCAGTCTTTGGTAGTTGTTGGTTTTTTACTCATAAAATGCATACCAACATGTTATTAATGACACTATCAGTTCTCTAGCAAATGTTAAAAAGAATTACACGTACCCATTTGAAGTATAACAACAATGCTACAGTGTTACAATATTCATAAAAATACCACAGTTCTTCTATCTGATTGGAATGGTAGTAAAAGCTATCAATTGTTGGAAATTTTTTATCGTGTGAAACAACTGAAAGTGTTTGCTTTTACAGTGATTGACATACATATTTCTAACAGAACCATATCCGGACTTGATTTCTTTGACAGCATTCAAAACAGACTGAAAGGCATCGAAAAATGATGATACTAAATCACTCAATGTACTCTTAAATTGAGCTGTTATGTCTCCGAATGAATTCTGCATTTCTTCAATGAATGAATTGGTTTCTTCTCTCTGAATTCCAAATTTAAAAGAAAATTCAAAATTCAAGACAACATGTATTAACATCTTCAAATGTTTTCAGTACAGTCAAACATTTTTTAAAATGTATTTCAATTGAATGGATGAAAGAAATTGCAATTTTCCTTTATATGAATATAATATTTCAATAAAAGAGGTTCATGCAAATTTTTCTTAAAATGCTATAATGCATCTTCTTCACCGTATCTAAAATGCCATCCGTAAGTGCTGTTGAGAGTCCATCCTCAGATGACAGATTCAATGCGCTTTCTTTTTTGTCAGATAGAAGACGAAATAAATCTTTGACATCTTCCAGGATCTCCTTAAAATCTTCCCAGTAATCGATCCAAAATGGTGCAGCACCTAAAGAGAAAACAATAAATTGATAACATACACGTATATGTAAATGCATGTACATGTAATATGTTCCCTTTAACACACACCAAAAACTCTTGATCTGTACAATATAACGGGTACTTTTAGGTTATGTAAATTTTTACTATTTTTTACATAGATTATGAATCCCTAAAATCTAACGCATAAATATTCACAACAGTAAAGTTAAACACATAAAAAGTGTAAAGATTTGCTTAATCCTCATATGAATGTACATTTATTTTGCGGCCCACAGTAGTGTCAAGCTTCCTTCGTTTGTGGCGAACATAATTTTGACTATAGGTTCAGGGAGATCACTTTCCCACCATGGTACATTGACTATTGGATCGTTGAAGCGATGAAACACTGATGCAATGACACTGAAGCGATGCTGCGATGACGAGATAGTGCGATAGCACCCTGAATAAAACGCAGCGGTGCGTTTTGCGATGATGATGATGCTACAATGACCATGACTTGACTGCGATAGCGCATTAAGACGATGCTATGGCGCGATAATGCGATGACGATAGTGCGATAGAACGGTAGTGAACATTGCTTCATCGGTATCGCAATATCGCATTATCGCCATCGCATCATCTTGTCATTGCAACATCGGCCTTCATCACATTATTGCGCCATCGATTCATTGTCATCATTCCTTCACGTTTTCATCCTCGCATAATCACCTAAAACTAGATGATTTTTCATTGCGGTAAACAGATTTTTGACAAGAAATTTTTATTTTGAGTGCTTGTTTGTTTTGAATATATAACCAAATATGGAGATAACGAACAGTAATCAATCTCAAAAGTCCATAGAGGAGTAAGCATAATGCGATTTCTTATGAAGTACCAAAATTTACATCAAGCATTGATAATTTTTTTTTATTTTGATATTGGGTCTGTCCAAAACTTATGAAAAATATTATTTTATGAAAAACTGCGAATAGTCTTTAAACGATAGTATTGTTCTGTCGACTACCTCTAAGTTAAGTTTTCAAAGGCTGTGTTTTAAAAAGTTTTGTTTTTTAATGATTTTTCATATTCATATAGATATTTATATGAATTTTCGAAAAAAAACAAAACATATTTGATTTGGGAAAACAAAGAGAGATAACTCTATAAATTTGGTTAAACTTGTCTTTTTCATTATAAAATTGAAAGCATTTAATTTCTGTAAAACAATTGATTTTGATTGGATAGAAAATTCTTTTGATAACCGCATCAATAGAATCTGGAGTTCATTTGCACTAAGCAGCCGAAACTAATTTTCTCTAGAGTGCAAACTTCACCTTTCAAGTTTTAGCCCTATTCATAGAACGGGAATTTCCAAATAAAATTATTCACATTGTTTTCGTTCGTGTTTGTATTCAATTTATTGTTTGCAAGTAAAAATTAACAAATAAATAAAATAGATCGTAAAACAAAATTTAAAAAAACCCGCATATTGATGACATAAAAATACATCCTTTTTCAATATATCGTCTGTTTCACGATTTCGATGAATCCCTAGCTCCTACCTTACAGTTGAGGAGCTAGGTGACATTGAATCTAAAAAGCATTTTTCGGCAACCAAAGCAAAAAAGGGCCTACAATTAATATACATATTAAACAAACTAAAAATACAAATGAAAATAAAACAAAATGAAATGAAACAGTGTTTGCAATTTGAGATAAAGCATGTCAAATTAATCATTAATATTTTTAAACAAATATGTAACATATAAAAGATCCTTGGAATTAAATTATCAAAACATTTTTTTTTTCATTAGATAAAGATGTATTTTTTTAAAACCAATTTGAAAGATAAATAACAGATAAAAATTAAATCAATTAAATATTAAATTACATGTAAAATGAAAAAAAAAAATGGAGGTACCTGAACAATAGTTCACCCACTTTAAACTGAATAAAAGATATTTGACAAATATACAGAAGAAAAAAAATAAAATAAATAAACAAAACACCAGCCAAAAGCAATGTAATGCTTCATAAATAAGCCTAATTAAATTGAAAATTGGAGTTTAGAGAAATTTGGTCATCCTCGGGATTTACAATCAATTTCATGCGAGGAACTAAATAATCATTTAAGATTTTACGCTGAGGTCCAACCAGACCTGGAAAACAAAGTATCACAGGCCCTGGATCACAAAAACAGATCATTAAAAGTCATACAGTCAGCAATCAACCGCCATCTTAGTGACATTGGCAAAATCTTGAAATAGTCTTGAAAAAGATTTTAAACAAGCACATGGGGCCCTAACTGGAAAGGTTAAACAAAACATGAATCTCGGGTTGTCTAGACCTACTCAACACAAGGCCCTGGTGTCACCAGATGATCTTTCTAGAATGTCTACCTACTTAAACCTCCAGCTTGGGGCCTGTTATTCTGCGTTATCGAGTTTGGTTCAATTTGTCACTTTGTGTCCAGGGATTAGAAATTCCACCATCAGCTGAGTTCCAAGTTATTTCTCTTCCTCAAAGATGAAATGATATGGAATACGTATCTTTTTCACAGAATTGGCAGAGAAGACTTGATAACCAGGAGGCACCCCAGGAAAAGCGCATGCATGCAACAGGCAATGTACACAGCCCTGTTGCATCACATAGAAAGGATGGATTTCTATAAGGTCATTTTCCGGCCTACGATAAAATCACTTAAAAATATGATTTATGTAACTTTAATCATTTTATTTTATGATTCTGTTTTGCAACATCGATCACCCAAGTCACGTGATTTAGAAAAAACAAATGGTGGTCAAGTCATGAAACATTGAGGATTGGTCTGTAAACATCAGGTTTCTATATGTTGTTTCTAAACTTAAATGATCAAAAATTGTTTATTTATTTCGGACATATATCAAACTAAAGTATCAAATACAAAAATAGTTTCATTTAAGGATTAAGATAATTTTTATGACGTGAATTTTGATTCATTCACACTCTGCATATTTTGAATGTAAATCTTTACAAAATGCAGACAGTATGATGTTGAAAAAATGTTTAATCACCATTTAATTTAAAAATATTATTTCATTTAAGTTTTATTTGTAATTGTGTATTGTTTTTATAGATGTGCTACCTATTTTACGCATGAAATGCTCATATAAGAAATTTAGTTTCGAAGTATCTATTGAACTAATACAGTTGTGTATCAAATCTTGAAAACATTGAAGGACTTTGTTTGTGACTGAATAAAAATTGAGTTGGTATTAATAAAAAAGATTCTAAATGAACAAAAAATATTAATGCAAGTACACTGTACATGTTGATTAATCATATAAATAGTGAGTTTATACAAAAACTTAGAACGGCTGTATTAAAAATACATACCGGTATGTAAAATGAGTTAATATCATAAGAATTGATTTGATTTCATTTTATTTCGCATATATAACAATATATTTAATTAAAAATACTATCAAAAATATAATACACAAATGTACACATAAAACTCCCCTTTTAACGACACTTCATAAAAAGAGGAAGATTTTCAACAGCTCCTTTCACTATTCATTTCAAAAGTTTTAGCATATCCATGGACTAACATCCCAGGTACAAAATGGACCCTAAGGGTTTGACGCTTGTTCAATTCTTGTTCCCAGTGCCGCGTCAAAAACTAAGGAATTTAACGTGGTTAGTGACTGTTCCTTTAATTCTTCAACGTTAAAAGTAAAAGTCATTAGTCCTTTTGATATTACCTTAAAAAGGAGGTCGCGTCAATAATGAAACCATGCATATATCAAAATTGTGACACTTCACCGACAGCGGATAATCTCTTCGTTTGGGTGAAAAATTCTAAAATAGCGTAAAGCAACATTCAATTATCAATCATATATGACCTTAGGGAACTCCTCTCCCCCTTGGCATTTCAAGACAAAACTGCTGTTCTTGTAGCTAATAACGCTATCAAAATTGTGTGTTGCTTCCTGAAATCCAAATAGATTGAGTCCTCTCAACACCGAGGTATGTACATTAATGTTGAATTAAATGTATGTATAATGTAGAAGGGAATCGAGAGTTAGTGTGCCTAGTTCTTTAAACTTTGAATCACAGACATTCAACAAACCATAAACTGTAAAATCAATATTTCCGGGGGATTTAATTTTCGTTGTTTACGTGGCACATGTATGAAGAGACCCATATACCTTCCTCAAAATGTAAAATCTTCATAATACAGAATGATATTTTTTCTTTAACCACGAAATCAAATCCTTTCAAACCAATATTTTTTCCTCAAATCATGGAAATTTGAACCCTGAAACATTTCGATTTTACAGTATCACTTGGCCACTTCGTTGAATGCTTCCTTGTAAGTTTCAGCTTTTCTGGCCCAGTGGTTCTTGAGAAGATTTTTCCTATATATTTCAATGTAAAAATTTTGATTCCCAATTGTGGCCCCGCCCTACCCCGGGGGGGGGTAAAATTTTTTAATAATTTCGAATATTCACTAACTCAGGATGCTTCCATAAAAAAATTAGCTTTTCTGGCTAACCGGTTCTTGAGAAGATTTTTTAAAAGGTTTTTCCTTTATATTCCAATGTAAAACTTTGATTCCTCATTATAGCCCCACCCTACCCCCGGAGGTCATTATTTGAACAATTTAGAATCTACACTACCCCAGAATGCTTCCATGTAAGTTTCAGCTTTTCTGGCACACTGGTTCTTGAGGAGGATATTTTTAAAGATTTCCCTATACATTTAAATGTAAAATTTTGATTCCCCATCGTGTCCCCATCCTACCCCCAGGAGTTATGATTTGAACAATTTAGAATTTACACTACCCTAGGATGCTTCCATGTAAGTTTCAGCTTTTCTGGCCTAGTGGTTCTTGAGAAGAAGATTTTTTAATGCAAGAGCATGATCTACGTTTGAAAAATTTCTAAAACGAGGCAAGCCATTGACAAACAAGTTGATGAAACAAGGATATCAACAGTCTCGCTTGAAGTCATCTTTTAAATTTTGAGGTCCTTGTTTGCTCTGCTCCAAAATTGTATCGTTTCATCTTTCGAGATTGAATACTGTCCTTTATCTTCATATTTCATGCTTCCATTTAAATATGACTAGTCATGGCTTTGCTGTACTTGAGAAGAAGATTTTTTACAAGATTTTTCCTATGTTTTCCTATGTAAAAATTTGATCACCCATTGTGGCCCCACCCTACCTCCGGGGGTCATGATTTGAACAAACTTGAATCTACACTACCTGAGGATGCTTCCATATAAGTTTCATATATTCAAGCACAGTGGTTCCTGAGAAGAAGATTTTTAAACGATGCCATTAATTTTTCACGAATTCATAATTATCTCCCCTTGGAAGAAGGCGTGGCCATTCATTTAAATAAACTTGAATCCCCTTTACCCAAGGATACTTTGTGGCAAGTTTGGTTGAAATTGGCCCAGTGGTTCTTGAGAAGATGAAAATGTGAAAAGTTTATGACAACGACGTGAACTAGGTGAGCTAAACATTTCTGTTGTTTGCCAATGTTGCTAAATTTTTAATATCGTAAAGAAATTTCAAATGAACATGATTTAATCTGATCCTATCTTTTTAAAGAGCACACTTCTATATAACCGCTGACCAACTTTTAAAGGCAATGGTTTGGTCCTAGTTTCAAAATTTCCAAAATTCAAATTTTAACTCTTCAAATTTAACTCTTAAAATGTCGCCCGCGAGGCGCAGTGGTTAGAGCGTTCGCTCTAGAGTCGCGGAGTAGGAGTTGATCCTTACGTCGCGGGTTCGAATCCCACTGTGTGACGTGGAGACCGGTCCTTCGGATGAGACCGTATAAACCGAGGTCCCCTGTATAGGTGCTAGCACGAAAAAGATCCCTCACTGTTCAATGGCCCAAATTAAAGTGCCGAGTGTAGGTCAAAATTTGTAGCTCTCCACCGGCAAGTGATGGCGTCTCCATATGAGTGAAAAATTATCGAGAGGGACGTTAAACAATAAACAAACAATTAACTCTTAAAATAGAGTGCTGCTATAGAAATTAAAAGAAAAAAATATGCATAAAAGGCGGAAAATATTTTGTTTCCTTGGGTACGCATCCATGTATGTAGATTCCCAAAGCTAACCTGACTTTCAATTTTGACTACCACACAATCTTTAACTGGATGCAAGAAGTTACCACATTGGGTTTAATATTGCTTCTTGGTACATGTAACCATGGGTGTCATTTTTTAATCAAACTTTAACAATGATGATATCAATGATATTCAACTTTAGTTCTATCGGAAAAGCACAATTCAAAGTGACTCAAGTAATGTTTCTTGATTAAAAGCAGCACAAAGTCACTAGTATACGTTTCCATGGTTACACTACAATGTAGCAATTAATCCCAATTTTTCTTATGTTTTCTGTGTTACAAGGTCCTAACGAGGTATATTTGCCAGTCTTGGTTTTCCATGTTTTTATTCCTTAAGATAACAGCATTAACCAAAACTAAGCAACACATTAATTTTGAGTGGATATACTGTGTTACCATGGCAAGTATGAAAATTATTTTCAGAATGATATTGCCAATACCTTATTTCTTAAGGTCAAATATTTTTATTGTTTTTCTTGTGTTGTTGATGGAGTTTGATCATGTAACCTATCATTAGTGAACATTGAGAGTTACTCAGCATTTTTCAGAATTTAAAATAGACCCATTGTTACCACTTATTTAGAGCTACAAATTCTAAATAGTTTCTTTATAGCATTAGAGGCAACAAAGTGTAATTTTTCGTGAGAGTGTTTTTTGAAAATTATTTTATTTGTCTTATTTATTTAAACGTAATAGTTTTACAACGCAAGATCAGTAAAAACATATAATAGTGACTAAAATTTGCAGTAAATATATGTTATTCCTAGGCTCCTAGCCTTATCAGTTATTTCACGTATTTCCTAAAACAGCCAGTACATGCAAGCATTAACTGAATGCTTAAGGAAAAGCGTAAATATTATTCTTTTTTCTATTCCGAGCTTGAGAATATTATACCTTTTAGAAACGTCAGTGTTTCCATTACTTTTTTCTTTATGTCCATAAACGTGTGAATTGCGACCTTAACCCTGAAAAGCATGGAAAAAAGGCTCAGCAAAAATGTTTATGCAAAACACGAAACAAATACAATGTACCTTAATATGTTCTCAAAACGATTTAGAAATACAGGTATATATTCATAAATCTTACTCTAACAATGATTTTCCAAAAAATGTAGTTGACTGAACAGGATTTGATAAAAACTGCCTCACAGCTGAAATAATTGCAGCTGTAGAATCGAATAACTTCTTTGCTACGTAAGGAAGTGTAACTGTTAAACAGTCAGATATGGTCTGAAAGAAATGAACTAGAGACTATGTTAATTGGAAAAATTGCCCAAAATATGGAAGTTATTGAAATAGAGTGATCAATATTGTATATGTTGTAAGTAAAATCTAAATAATTGCTTACGCTGTAGAAATCTGTGAGGTCTTCCTGAACGTCTTCCACAAAATATCTGGCTTTGATAATTATTTTTTTTATGTGGTAAATCCAACAAGCACCTCCATACTCAGCTACCTTCATAACGGCCTTGATAATTTTATCAACAATATTCTCTAAAAGGATTGGGAAGCTTTTCATCACTCCGATAATGTTGTTGACAATGATTTCAATACCACCATCAAACGATTGAATAATATTTTTGAATTGTTGAACAACTGTTATTATAGGATTCATAACGGTTTTGATAATTCTGTCAAATATATTGGCCAAGCCTTGAATGCCATTAATTCCGAAATGCTGAAATATAAGAGTAGATATATAATAACTCTCTTGTCTGCAGTAGATGTATATACATTTTATTTATTTTCGATGTATGAGACAGCAGTCCATTAATAGGGAAATAGTATATAAAAATAACAGGTTATCTTAAAAACACCCCACTCATTTAAGAAATTTTAAGAGTCATACATTTTTAAAATGAAAGAGATGAAATTAAATGATGTACACATTCATAGAAATCTACTACATGTAAATATGTTCTTTATTTATTATCAAAATCATTTCCTTTGATAAATACATTAATGGGGACCGACCCTCTGGTAAGAGAGATAACTTTTCAAGTAAAAAATCCTAATATTACTCACAGTATATTTTACCAGAGGTTAATAATTTAGACCTTTGAGTGATCAATTCGATCAAACTTGACATATGATGGAAATACTAACTTCTGTTTCCTTTTGTCTATACTTTTCAAATTGTTTTATTACATTTGACAAAAAACATTTAAATCCAATTTTAAAACCCTTACAAATTGTATAAGTTCTATTTTTGATTTTATGGACCATTTCAAAATGCTTTAATATATCAAGTACCATATGTAGAATATTTTTTTCCATTGAAAAAAAATATTTATAAGAAAGATAACTCTTACTAATGGAGGGTATTGTTTTCTAACAAGCACATATTATATTGTGATATTCTGACTTAGGAAGCAGCGCTTTATTATGTTTTCTAATATGAATTTAATAGGTATGACACTAAATATTATTTTCATATACACCTCCTATTTTAAAGTTTATGTTGGGATAATAAATTATTACTCTTTCTATTCTCTGTGTTAAAATGTCTGTTAACCCTAAAAAGGTTACATCTCAATCGGATGAGTAGTTTCCGAGAACAATCGCGTACAAAAAGTACCGGAGAAGAAATTTTTAAAAAAGAAATTAAAAATAATACGTTTCCAAACTTCGTTTGGGGAACGTAATTACATATCCCCCTTACGCCGGTAATTTGATAAATATCGCCTTTATCAACAGAGATCAACCAATGAATCGAACAAAATTTTGCCATAGTTCGGGTTATGTAGCATATGCTTTGGGGATATTAAACATTTTGTTTCAGTTCAACGCTCGAATTCCTGGTTTTGCACATTAACAAATACTGTCTGAAAAAAAACTTATTGAGCTAATATTTTATTATATTCTTTGATCTTTTTTATATATATATTTTGCACCTTCTTTGAGAAACACGAGTTTCTACCCCTAAATACTGTTTTTTTTCTTTCTTTCTTTTTATTTATTTATTTATTTTTATTTTTTATTTATTTATTTATTTATTTTTTGTTTTTTTGTTTTTGTTTTTGTTTTTTTTTTTTTTTTTGTATTTTTTAACTGATAAATTATTATTTGTAGTTTTGCGTAAAATGCTTAACAAAACTCAGTTAAGAGTTTTATCTCAACTTGCCACTTAAAGTTCAAATGTAATATCTTTGTCCGATCTATGCTCAAAATACCAACTTCTAATTTTAATTTTACATATAATCAAAAACATCGGCATTATCTATCGGAAAAAAATGTCGAATTTCTCCAATATACACGTATACCTTTCAAGTCTGATCCATTGTGAAATCACCGTAAAGGAAAGGCCCAGACATTAACATTACAATTTCCAATATTTTTTTTAAGAATTAATTTTATATTCTGAATGAGCTTGAATGGATTTCGATAGTTTTATAAATGGAATTATATATTTCAGCCTTTCTTTAAATTCAGGAACAATGAATTTATGAATAAAATCTAAACGATTCTTTTTATATATATTTATTTTCTTTATCTAAAATATGATTTATGTATAATACCTTAAGAATGTTGAGATCGTATCCAGCATGTCCCCTATAACAAGCATAGGCTCGAAAGAGGTATTTTTCCACTCCAAACCAACCAAGCATAACTTTAGCGTAGGCATCGTCGTAGATATTTAGCATGACATGAGCACTGAGAGGTCCTAACGGTTTTCATTATAAAAACAACTTTAAATTATTTTACTTGAGCTTCAAAATTTTGAAATAGGTAAAGAGAGTTTTTTTTTTAAGTATTTCTGAAATGTTAGATAATTATGTAAATAATTATGTAAATATATGCACATTTTACCATGTGAAAGATAAGTATACTTTTTGCAATTATCCATGACAACATACTTATTTCTATTTCAAATTCATTCGATAAAACGAGTCCAAAGTCCGCTCCAAATGAACTGTCTCCTAGTCGTTTATTCCATTGTATGCTGGGAAGTTTTAAATGAAAAAGGAATCCGTCTTTAAATTGTACATCTAAAAAGCCCCTCTTCACACGCATCAATGTTTGATAACTGTAGTCTCGGCTACAAGAAGGAAAAATATTTGGAAATAACTAATAAAATACCCCCATGATAGGTATAATTTTTTTTACGTCCTGCTCCATCATATATTCTCTCAAAATATATGTGAAGACGCAGATGTTTGCACAGAATTTAAAGGAAATTCTAATTACAAGCATCGAAAATAGTTTCATGTTTGTCACTCGTTCATCATAAGTAAACATAGACAAGTTGACCTGATATCTTAACTTTTGCTTAAGCGTTTAATATTGCCAAATAAATTTATTCAGTAACTATCACCAGAATAAAAAACTTAAAATAATAGGGGCATCACTTTTATGAAGATTGATCCAAAAGTTCATTGAATTTCTTAATATTTTATTAATTTATTAGTGGAGGTGATTGGAAATTACAGATGAAAATATGCACGCTTGTTGAATTTTCTTAATAAAAAATATTTTAAATATTCATGATGATAACACTTTGGCAGTTGCCATTTGAAAATGCGGTGGAGACATTTATTCGTTCATTTTCATTTCAAATCTTAATACTCACTGTGAGAAAAAAACCCGCACTAAGTGGTATATAAAACGAAAACGATGTCATAATTACGATTGCTTGAACTCTTATAAACATTCGTGTGAAAGTTTAATAGCTTTTACTGGATGTTTAGTTTTTCAAACTGATGATTTCTTGTTCATCATGACATCGTTAGATAACGTCGAAATTTAGTCAGGTTGTAAGTTTTGTGACAATCTCGAAAACACTACGATTTAAACGCATATATTAATGATATTGACAGGACAAAAGTGCAGTAAGCAACTGGTTTTCAATTGGCGTGAGAAATTTAAGGAAAACAGAACTTCCGTGGAAGATGATAAAAGGTATGGCTGCCTATTGAAAGGTCGTTTTTCCTCATAGACAAATTCAGAGCGTTAATGGACGTGGACCGCCGATGTACTGTGCATGACATTGTTACTGAAATCGGAACATCATACGGAACGACGGAGTGTATTATGAAAAATGATCGTAATATGAAGGAAGTGGGTGCGAGATGGGTACCCATGCTTTTCCCGAGAGCAGAAATGAAGAAAAGAATGCAGTGTTTTGTAGAATTTCTAGGTCGATTTGAACGTAAGGGCGAGATTCTTCTAGAACGTTACGTTATATACCTAACTTCCCGGAATTTTACAGCCGTCCATGTTTAGAAAGCTCACGTGACCTTAATGGTAATTGGTGAAATTTTCCAGTATTGCTGCACAATGGCTCTTTTTTATAGATATGTCTTTTGTTTGCTTTAATCACATAACAGTAAAATTTTAGAAAGAAAATCCACGAACTTTTGAATTAACCCTCGTATTTCCCTCAAGGGATTCTGTTTCCTCAAAGCCGACTACATTAACAGAAGATTCGACAATAAGTCCAATTATTATACTTTCATGTTAAATACTAAAATCTGATTGGTTTAGACGCATTTAACAATCCGTAATGTTACCCTCAGCGTTAGCAACAGACTTGACAACGGGTAACATTTCGAAAATGTCACATGCGTTCAAATCATGCGCGTACGGTTCACCGTAGAATTCTCAAAACGTCAGTTGTGCGTTTGAAAGAAGCCGAATAAACGACGTCAATAAAAGCTTGCGTCCGATGTAGCTTACTTGAAAACAACAAACGACAGACGAAACATCCTTGCGAGTGCAAACTTTAGATGATAAAGGACTTTTTGAGTAGCAAACAAACAATAAAGAGGTTGGTAAATCTTTTCCGAAGCTTTCTTATTGATAAAATAGAAGCGGGGAGTTTGAAAGCTTTCTAAGCGTGAACTTAACGACGATCTCCTATTTTTTTTAATGACATCCGAAATCAATAAGACATTCAGTATAATAAAATAAATAGTGCACGTTTTTGCGGGTAACAGTTGAAATTGACACCCCAAGGAAAACCATTGTCAACCGACGCTGACGCGTCGGTTGACAATGGTTTTCCTTGGGGTGTCAATTTCAACTGTTACCCGCAAAAACGTGCACTATTTATATAATAATACACTTGTTTAATCAATAAAAGATAAATGCCTGTGTAAAATTATCAAACATTTTTATCAAGCTGATGCCTTTTAAAACAAAATCTTGGGATAAATTATAATTCTTTGGCATTCTTCATGCATACTCTACACTTGCCAAGTACAAAAGAAGACTCTTACGGTATATCTGGTAATTTGGCGAGCTCGAGAACATATGTGATAAATTTGGCGATAAAATAATAGCGAGTATTATCGCAATTTATTAAGTTCTTAAACAGAGTATGGAAGTGAAAATCTGCCAAAATATTATAAGACGTCAATGTTTCAACTCCTTTTTGATATCAAATTTGCCAAATATTCCAGGTTTGATTAAAATCAGATCTTTTGATAGCTACACAGGATCTGAAGAAGGCCCCATCAGGGTCATCTGCTTGTGACCTTTGCAACATAAATATTCATTTAAATTTTGACCAATCAGAGAAATTGTAATTAATCGACATTCGGGAAAATGGAGGTATCAGTAAAAGTAGCTGTAGAAAAGATCCAAACGTTTAGTACAAACCAGAGAGCTAAAACAGTTCAAAAGCAAATATTAATTGCATTTCTGCAAAGAAAAAGACATGTGTGGACATCCGAAATACAGGCTAAAGAAACCATATAACTGTTGCCCTTTCTTATATCATCAGGACTAATCCTTTTGTATTTGAATTTCAAGATACTGTCAGATTCTTACCAGAAAATGCTTGATTGGATAATTGAAAGGTCACATGGAAATGATCTTGAATGGAGTTTCCTCAGATCCTTGTGTAACGATCAAATGATCTGATTTTAATTAGATTTTAATTAGATTCTCGACCCAAAATTACCTGATATACGGTACATCCTGCACCGAATATATGTATATAGATTACAAACTCGGAAATATGTGTCCGCGTAAGAAGCATATGGTTTAAGTGTTATTTATCTTAGGGATATTCTTTTTTTTTTTTTACCTCAAAATGATATCTCGATGTTGTGAAACATTTTGTTTTGACAAAGGATGCCTTTCAAAAAGATCCATTGCCTGCTGTCGCACTAAAGAATATTCGTCGTTAAGAGCCAGTAGAAGTAAAGCAGCTGAACTCTAAAATAAATGCATTCTCATTATTTATACAAAGTACATTCAAGGTATATATAATATATCGAACCCACATCATGGGTAAAATGTTTACTGTCTTCCTTATTATGCTTTCTTTGATGAAATCTTACTAGTATGTTAAGTTATGGAATACCTCTGTGCAGTTAAAATGCCTCATTCCTAAGATAGCAGCCCTTCTCCAGCTGTTGTCTCCTTCGCCAGGTCTCATGTATGTCAGGAGGTGGTCTCTAGCGTTTCCGGAATTTCCCAAGGCATGGATTAAAACCATTTTGGAGTACGTATAATTATGAAGTTCTTCATCAAACCAGTCTACTGAACGGCGCTGTCTCCATTTGACTTTGTACATTTCTTTGTATTTTGCTACAAAAAAAAAAGATTACCTTCATGTATTATGTATGTGTATAACGTACAAAATTGATCAAATAATGTGTTGATGTTCATTTCAAGTTCTTTCTTTAAAGATACCCTTTTTAAAACTTTATACTGTACTGTAGAATAGTTAAAGCAATAATAAATTTAGGTAATTTCAAGACTATTTTGGTTATCATGTGCTTCAGTTGTCAACATTTAACATTAAATTTCTTACTTTGGTTATGTGGAGCCAGCCAATTTTGTAAGGATCCCAAAAGGCTTTCTGTCTTAACATGATGATGGGAATTTGTTTTAAGCGTTCTTATCAATGTTCCAAGGGCCAGACAAGCATGTTTTTGGATGTTTGTCATGGTGATTAAACCTGTAAGGTTATGAAAATATATATTAAAAAATTCCATTATAACGGGTTTGGCTACTTTATAAATTGAAATCGTTAGATATGATAAAGATTTTTTTCCTTTACTATAAATACCTATGTTGGTATGATTTTGCCCTAAGCAAAGTTCCTCAACAGCCTCTATAAATGCCTTCAAGAATAAAAAGTACATTCACTAAACACTAATTTTGTGGGCTGGTTGTAAAAAAAATGAAACATTATCCATAATATTTCTAGAAAATATACTTGAAAATGTGTAACAAATTGCAACATTACCATTGATGGGGATTTTAACTCCGATATATGGTAAAAAATTCTAATAATGTTCGTTTCGTTGGTGTTTTTGCTTTTTAAAAAATATTTGATAATAAGCTTTTGTGTAAGGTTGGATCCCTCGCTGAATAAAAGATCAATGAAAACATTTACTCGACCACTGCACATTGAATCATTTGATTTGCACTCTTTTGATAACTCGCTTAAAGCGACTTTTTCGTAATCAGCTTTCTCAAGATGATTCATTATCTGCACGAGTTCAACAAAACAATCCGTTCTACTTCGGTTACCTAAAAAGTAACGTAAGAGAATATTATTGCAACAAATATTTTTCTGGAAAACCCATTTTTTATTCTTGAAAATATTTTTAGTTTTTATTTTCCAGTCAGCCAACATATTATATCGAAATCTTTCTGAAGTCGTATGAAGAAAGATATTAAAAGATAATTTTATTTGGAAAATTCTGACAATGTACGTAACTAAGAGAAGAGATAGGATAATGATAATAATAATTTTACATTATGTTTAATGATTATGACTTCATTACCTTCGTTTCTGAAAGACTGAATACAAGCAACGTTGGATTCAATATTTTGTCCAACTTCAGACAAGCCAACTTTTTTACTTTTTTCCTACGAATAATGCAAAATAAGAAAAAAAATAAAATGTTATTAGTAAAAGGCATAAATAGTTTGATTTAAAGAATTTTTTTCACCTGCTGAACGACGATGCTTTCTTTTATTTTCACATTCTCCTTCAATGGGGACATCGAGTTCGTTGTTTTTAATATTCTGATATTGGAAAAAAATTGAATTATTTTTGGGGTACATGTTTCTTTCAACAATTACATTTAAAAACGGCTTTTGACTCCTTTTGTCATAAGCCTTGACTTTAACTTTCTGCTTGTTTGACTAGCAAGGCATATTTCCAACGAAACTAAATTATTCCTTGTCGCCCGCGTGGCGCAGTGGTTATAGCGTTTGCTCTAGAGTTGCGGAGTAAGGAGTTGATCCTTACGTCGCAGGTTCGAATCCCACTGCGGGACATGGACACCGGTCCTTCGGATGAGACCGTATAAACCGAGGTCCCATGTCGCAGTAAGTGCTGTCACGAAAAAGATCCCTCACTGCTCAAAGGCGGTAAGTACCGAGTACAGGTTTAAATTTGCAGTCCTACCGGCAAGTGATGGCGTCTCAATAATGAGTGAAAAATTTAAACAAACAAACAAATTTATCCTTATAATTCATTAATAATAAGTAAACTTGACTTCAAAATCATGTAATTTATAAATGTTTTTGATCCTGATCAAATACCCTCTGGATTTCACAAATCTTTGCGTTAAATCAAATGTAATTTTAAGGTGTGATTGCTACTGCACGAAACAACAATTTAAGCAAATCAATAGCATTCAATTTGGCTATACAATATTTCCTTCAAATCTAGTCCTTACCAAGTCTTTGATATTTTTAGTTTAATCAAAAGAATGTTCATACTGTAACGTTTCTGGGTTCGAGGATTCGGTTGCTCTGTCTGAGCAATTAAAGGAATAAATCAAATAATTGTTAGAACTTCTCAATCAAGAATTTTAATCAAATATATTTACAACTATCCAATTCTGTCCTGGAGCGCCTGCGCTTCCTAGCTAAGCAAACAAAAATATTTACCAATTTGCTGAAAAACACAACAAAGTCTCGAAAGCCTTATACAGGCACATAAGACTTTATTAAGCAAGTTTATGTTCCTCACCTTAACTGAAAACCAACTGACTTCTCTCGACTTTAGTCTGGAACTGACTAAGAGCTCTAATATCGCTGCTTATACCCTACACTATCACGTGATCTCTGAGAATCAAAAAGGTGAACTAAGCAGGAAGTAATTATCACAAAGCTTCTAGAGGACAGAATGGGATAAATCAATTTGATTCCTAGTTTCGTTTCAATACCACAAGAGAGTTCAATTTATATAATACTTTTAGGAAGAATATTGTAAGAGTTTATTTATATGGCAAAGGGTGAGTGGGCGTAGCTTTGAACTTAATTTTGTCCAATATGTAGATGACTGACAAAAAAATGAATATGGTATGTTACCTTCTGTATTTATGCACTTACCGAGGTCACAGAAAATTGATACCTTTTCTCCTTTCTTGCATTTTTCATCAATTTTGTAACCATTTGCATCAAACTCCGAACTTGCTCATTTTTTAGTTTTAAACATTAAGATATATTTATGTGTTTTGTTTACTCAGGTACAGTGTATATACATTAATACATGATAAACAAAGTTAGACACGGTTATTTCACGTAGGTTTACGCAGCCTCATCCTCCAAGGTATGTTTTAGAACTTTAAAAAATATTTAAGTATTATAAACCCACATATTTAGTTTTTTAATCAAAATGTAATATAATGGCTTCATATGATATTCACGCAATGTGAAAAACGTTATGAAGTAGACGTCACAACGAAGCAATAATATGAATTAAAAAATATTATTTTAAACCTTATAATTCAAAAACTTTCTAAGCAGCTTGAATTTTGTGAAATATACTTACATTTTGTTAGTAAGTTGTACTTCCGTTGACGTGTTTGATTCGATGTCTTTGACTTCTAATTTCATAAATAAACTTGGGTTACTCAAAATGGTTAAGATACATGTATGTACATGCTTGAGTTGTTTTTATTTCCATGAACTCAAACACGATTAAAATAAACCAATGTGCTTACCGTCAGTAATGATTTAAATAATTTAAGTAAGATATGAAGATTATTTTTCGGTTTAAAAGACTTGAAAAATAACTTTTGTATCAGTTTTATATTCAGTAATAAAAAAAGATTTTGGGATTTACAGTAGTAATAGATATCGGAGAAATTCAAAAAATCTTTGTGACTATATTTTCATTTAAAAGTTATATTTGCAAATTATATTTTTACGGAAAATGCATCGCACCAAATCTGTTTCATACTGTTTTCAAAGCATAACACTGCAATTTCTTTCTGTTCACGATTATTCATAAATTAAGTATAGATATATCTAACTGCAGACTTATTTTCCTTAAACTTCGATGAACTTCATTTTCACCACATAATAAACAAAATCCTTCTAATTACCACTTTCATCAAATTAAATTCTCCAGAAGTATTATAATAATAATAAATAATGATAATAATCAATAAATGGGACAAAAAACCCCGCAATTTTGAAAAAAAAACACCCACCCACCCACAAATCCCTCATAAGCATGCAAATAATTTACAGAATTATAAGTGTTATTCTGTACCTTATTTAAAAAAAATCATTGATTAATTTGTTGTCCATGAGTAAAATCTGTTCAAGTTAGTTATTTTTTAAGAATGCTAGTGTAAAACCTTTGTACTACTGTGGTAAATACCTCATTTTAAATCATAAGCTTGGAATAGAATAGCACAAATCTGTAGCACTCTGATTGAGAATATTCGAACAGACAATCAAGAGACATACAGATCCAACAAATTGTAAAAATCTTCGATTTACACCCCCCCCCCCGTTTTTGTTGCACGCCCCGGGTATTGTTTCTTGTATTATATGCCCCCCCCCCCTGCTAAAACATGGTGTCTATTAATTAACCATATATTTTAATCCAAACTTTGTTACTTTATTTACCTTTCAATGGTCCCAATCTGCCTTATTTGGCCTTGGAATATCAGTTACTAAAAATTGCATTCAGACATCCATTTTGCGGACAGGCTGTTGGGGCCGTTGAAAGATAAATAAAGTATCAAGATTATGAGTGATATATATCTTAATAAACTTGTAACATGCTTTTGGCAGGAAAAATCACACAAATAATAATACCGAAGCGTAAAAAAGAAGCCATAAATCGAAGGTTTTGCAATGCTTGGATCTGTAGCACTCTGGTTTTTCTATCCGAATTTTCTCAACCACAGAGCTACAGTTCTGCAGCAAGATAAGAAATAGAAGACCATTTAAAATTTACCACCGCTTGTTTCCACCTTGATTTCTTTTTCGGCCGGAATGGAATGCCTGTGGATCAGTAGAAGAAAAAATAAATATTAATTTTGGCTTCTCGTATTAGAGGTAATAATTCAAAATAGATTTTTTTTTTATTGAACCCTTCTTTTAAATATATGCAAGTTTTGAAAATCACTATTCTATAAAAGCAATTTACTTTTTTCTCTCAGAGAATGAAATATTATGATGATGTACTCCTTTCCTTGGCGATCTCACAAATACCTTATAAATGAAGTTTAACACAATGAAGTACAAACCAGTACCCAAAGTTGCTTGAATATCAGGTGAAGATATTTGAATGTTATCGAATGCTGAAAATAACTGCTTTACAAAGCATAATACTTCAGTTTTAACATCCCCGTCAACTAAGGTAAGTTCGATCTACCCTACCCACTGGATTCCAAGACTTAAAAAAAAAATCCTTACAAACAAACATTGCCGGGTCCAGCAAATGCTCTACCAATCCCCTTTCTTTACTCCAAACAAAAATATTAACTGCTGTAAAGGAGGAACTTTAGACCTACTGTGCTACAGCATACTAGTATTCGAGAAGTAGTATAAATCAAATGTTGATTCTCAAAAACCCCAAAGAACTTTTAGAAATTTAGAATAACACTTTTTTTCAAAAGTCAAAAACATCGAATACATTAACACTTTAACAACCATTCCTCACACTAGGATTTTTAAATTATAGACAATTGCTTCTCAATAAAAATGGAACTCGGAAATTTTCATATCATGTGAATAGTCATCAACAAAATAACTTCGTTAAAAATCACTCTGATTCTAAACACAAGTACACTGAAGTTAATATTAAATGGATGCTGGAGTTCCTCATTGAACCTATTTGTAGAATAAACTGTTGGAATTCCGATGGGCACTAATTGTGTGCCTCTTTATTAGTGACCTGTTTTACATTCCTATAAAGCCGAATTTATTTAAAAACTTTTACATGAAAAGAAGAAAACATTTGCCGTGGCCTTCAACTCGTCATTCAGATATATCGACGACGTTTTATCAGTCAACAATAGTTGCAAAATTCATATGTTGACTCGATATATCCTAGTGAAATCGAAACTGAAGACATCACAGAGACTACCAGGTCTGTTTCATATTTGAATGTTTTACTGACTATAGACGATAAGGACCAACTAACATTTAAATTGTATGACAAACCGAGATGATTTCAGCTTTTCCATTGTCAACTTTCCTTTTTTAAATAGTAGTAATCCGCCATCAACTACATATTCTGTTTATGTCACACAAATTATTCGGTACTCAAGAGCATGTTTTGAGTACGATCAATACTTTATCCGAGGTAGGCTACTGACATATAAGTTGATGTTAAAAGGATTTCAAAATCCACGTTTAAAGTCAGCATGGCGTTAATTCTTTGATCGTTATAATGACCTTATTAAGAAATATAACCTATCATTGGGTCGTATTTTGACTGCCATATTTCATACTAATTGTTAGACTTTTTTTTTGTTTTTTCACTAAATAGTCCTCCTATCTGATCAATAAATAGGGATCACGGTCGGTATGAGCGGTCGACAGGGGAAGTTTACTCCTCCTGGCTATAGTCACCTATGGGATTATTTGGTAGGGTTTTTTAATCTTTTTTTTTTTAATCGATCACTGTTTCTTTTTCTTTACCTTTTTTCATTATATTGCCCTCGTAATGATCAATACAATCATGTATTTTGATATATAAGTAAAATTGGTTTATGATAAGAACTGCAGAAATTACCTTGCTTCAGGTGGTTTATGTTTGTTTTTATTTTGAATAATAGCTTTATCGTCCGCTTTGACATATTCAATTACTCCATCATGGCTATAATGCAGAACCTGCAAAATATGACTTTATAACGGAATTTCCTATAGCACTCGCTCTAAATAATCTGAAAGAAATAGTGACAAAACCCATCATCAACAATCACAGTACATTGGGTTTTCCTGAAGTTGTGTTGAGAAAATACTCAAATTATTAATCATACAAATATTGAATTGTATTTAGCAGGTGTATCAGTAATGTGTCTTGTGGAGTTTTTACAGTATAGCAGAGACGATTAATTCAAACCAAAAATATGAAATGACAAGTTTCTAGCAGTCTAGGACATTCAATTTATTAAACAATCGATGTAAACAGTGTGCACAAAAAACCAAAAAGTGTTTCAATCCTCATCTTTGTGTTTTTGTCAAAAGGAAGAAAAACCCTGATGCATAATTTAACTCCTTCTAATGTGTTCTTTGAATTAAGTTTCCGTAATTGCGAAAATCGCTGAAACTTTAGCTCATTATCAGAAGATATATACATGTAATTTACATGCATGTATATAGTCCGTACATGTATGCATATTACATGCTTACTATTATTAAAAGGAAGAAGAATTAATTCAATCTGATTTCATTGAGAGTTTGTAAATTGTGTAATACATACTTATTTACGGAAGCCCATTTAAACCTAATATCAAAAAATATTTTTGAATTCGATTTAACGAATGGTCTTTGAATTCATTATAACAAATTAAAAAATTCGTAATAAGAAATTAAAAAATTAGTTATAACAAATTCAAAAATTTGTTATAACAAATAAAATTCATTTAAACGAATTCTAAAATTTGTTATAACGAATTAGATTCGTTTAAATAAATTCTCAAATTCGTTATAACGAAATATTTACATTTGCAAATGTTTTCCTTTATATAAAACTATTAAAAGCAATGTGTATCTATATCCGTATAAACACGGGTTCCTCGCGTCATAAACGCAATCAATAGATCAAACTTGTGCCGTTGAGTTTGAAAAAAATAAAACATTTCACGCGTTAAAGGTTATAATCAGGCTAATAAATAATATGAATAAGTCACAAATGTAAATATAAGTAATAAGGTATAATTTTAAAACGTCTATCGGGATATAAATACGGGTTGGTTCGAGATCAAATTTACCATAAAGCCCTTCGGGCTTTATGGAATTTGATCTCGTGACCAACCCGTATTTATATCCCGATAGATGTTTAAAAATGATACCTTATTTCTTAATTAAATTCGTTTAATCAAATTCAACAATCAGGGCCTATAGGAAAATATATATGATTTCGATATAACGATTTGTCGAATTCTTTTCAACGAGTTTAATTCGTTATAATAAATGAAAGAATTCGTTAAAGTCGTTATAACAAGTTTTAGAATTCATTTAAACTAATTTAATTTGTTATGACAAATTAAAAAATTAGTTATAAAGAGTTCAAAAAATTTGTTACAACAGATTTAATTCATTATAACGAATTCAAAGAAATTGTTACAACGAATTAAATTCGTTATAACAAGTTCGATAAGTCGTTATATCGAATTCAAAAATATTTTTTGATAGATCCTAAATAGGCTTCCATACTAATTTTATGTTATTACTTGTTTAAAATGCCTAAATTGTAGTTTAAATTGACGTTGTTTAAAAGAAAAGTATTCATTGATAAAAAATATTTTGGATTGGCAATTAATAATCTACTATCTGAAATTTATTTTGAAATCATTGTTTAGCACATAACAACCAGAAGTTAAGACTGTAGCTCTACTTGTGCGTATTTGGTGTATCTTAGTATAGGATAGTTCTAGTGTGTACCAAGTCTTAGTGAAATCAGACTGAAACTGTAGGAGGAATAATGCTTTGAAAGAGTTTCTGAGAAAATTCTATTTTTTAATTAAACATGACAACACTGCTTGTTGAAAGCAAAAACCAATGTAAAGAATTATGTACCTAAGTATAGTGAACAAGCTGCAAAGTCTTATTGAAATTGGCCATAAATTGTAAGAGGAGTAGCGTATTGAAAGAATTTCACAGAAATTTCTTTTTTGAGTTACCACCGCAACAGCGTTTGTCGAAATCAAAAACCAATGTAAGAATTATATATCCTAGATATCCTAGTAGATTGTACGTAGAATGATGTACCAAGTCTTATTAAATGGACTAAAAGTTTAGATGAAATAGCATTTTAACAAATATCAAAGAAAACTATTTTAAGTAACAAAGGCAACACCATTTGTCAAAACAAAAAACCGATACAAAGGATTATGTACCTTGGTATGGTGTACTTGTGTACCAGGTATAACTGAAATTGGACAAAAACTGTAGGAAGGGTAGAATTTTGAAAGAATTTCACCGTAATTTCTATATTTAGTAGCAATGGCCACACAGTTTGTTGAATTCAAAACCTGATAAAAAGAATTATCTACCTTAGTATACACTGTAGGTTTTTGTGTACCAAGTCTTATTGAATAATAGACTAAAACTGTACGTAAGTTAGTGGCTGTATTTTGAAAGAATTTCACAAAAATTATATTTTTAGTAATCATAGCAACACCGTTTGTTGAAATCAAAATTTAATATAAAGAATTATGTCTTATTATCTTGTATCTGACTTATTCATTTGCTCCTATTCTTTTGAATAAAGTTCTTGAGAATTTTGTTTTCCTCTGGTACATGTAAAGAAAAATAAAGAAGAACTTGAACAGGAAAACAAAATTTGCAAATTTTCAACAGTTGTATCCACAGTTATGAAAGCGTTCCTGCCCGGCAAGACGAAAATTCAGAAGAACTTCTGTCTGCATATGGTACTTGTGTGTCAAATCTTATTGAAATTGGGCCAAATCGGTAGGGGGAGTAGAATTTTGAAAGAATTTCACAGAAATTTCTATTTTAATAAACATGCCAACACAATTTGTTGAAATCAAAAACTGATATATAGTATTATGATCTTAGTACAGTGCATTGTGTACCAGTATTATTGAAATTGATCCAAAACTGCAGTATAGAAGTAGCATTTCATAATAACTATGGTAACAGTGTTTGTCGAAATCAAAAACTGATTTACCTAATTATGTGTCTTAGTATAGTATAATTGTGTACCAAGTTATATTGAAATTGGACCAAAACTGTAGGAGAAATAGCGATTTGTAAAAAAACAAAATGTTTACGGACGAACAATGGACACCTTACTATTTGACAAGCTCTTCTAGTCTCTGATTAGTACAGTAAAACTGAACCTTGGTTTAGTCTCTTTTGGTGGTAGGTTTTATTACAATCTGGCTAAAACTGTAGGAGGAGTAGCCCTCTAAAGTTTTTCTTTAAAGATTCTATTATTAGTGACAAAATAGATCATCAAAATTAAAATCAATTCACAGAATTATGTATCTTAGTATGGTCTACTTGTGTATCAAGTTCTAATCCTTAATGGAAGAGTAGCCTTTAATGAATTTAACATAAATTTCTTTTTAGTAACCATGGCAAAACCGTTCATCAAAATAAAAATCGATAAGCAAAATTGCGTATCTCATTATAGCCTACTTGAGAAGAAAGTTTTATTGAGATTAGAACAAAACAGTAGGAGAAGTAGCATTTGAAAAAAAATGTCACAAAAAGAACGACTGTATAACTGTGTAACCATGGCAACACTGTTCACTGAAATCAAAAACCGATAGGCTGAATTATATATTTTTGTGTAGTCTATTTGCATATCAAGTTATACTGAAATCAGACCAATATCGTAGGAGGAGTAGCATTTTTAAAAATTGTTTACAGACAAACAAATAGACAGACGGACGACGGACATCTTACTATCGCATTATTTCTTCTGGTCTCTGAATAGTAGAGATAAAAATACACTACCTTCGTGTGCTTTCTGTAAACTTGATTCGTGCTCTCGTGGAATTTCTTTATCCTGTAACCTTTCTTTGTTCTTTGGATTGCGTAATCATGTAGTAAATAACCTTTTAAAAGTATGAAAAGTTAATTTTGCAATACAAGGAGACATTAAGTAGGAATTTAACCTAAACTACAGACACTATATTCACAAAGCTGACAATGAGATGTAGATGGAAATGAATGAAGGAATGTGAAGGCAATTAAAAATCTGGAAATAAAGAAAGAGGTCAATAAATACGTCCGATTCATGTGCTTGGTGCAAAATGTTTAAGGTGACATAATCACTTGTAAATTCCTGGATATTTTTCCAAATATTTACATTTGCAAATATTTTCTATAGATGAACTCATTTAAGGTAAATGAATTGAAATGTTTGAGCTTATTAGGGTCAGAGGTCATAGCGTAACCAAATCATTCGGCGTAATGATTTATCATATATTTCTGTTATAGTGGAACTGGCTTCGAAATTTCTAACTAAACAGCAATGACATTGATTTTTTTAAATTTACATATGCCCATTAAATATTCCTTTGTTGTGAAGAATGGTTTGAATAATAGCATTAATATGAGTCACCAAAAAATCGTGCTTATATTCCGGGAAATCCAAAAAAAGTTCCGAGTTAAATCAGGTTACATTTAAATAAATTTTGCGGAATGCCTCTAGAATTTAGAACTGTTTGTATACATGTAAGTGGCCGGCGGAACTTGTCGTTTTGAATCCGGTTTTACAATATGCACCTGGTTCCGGGAAAGCGTCGAAGCAAAATTTGAAAAAGTGTTAAAGAATCATATATTAGGAATTATTTGCATGACTTGAGGGGTTTTACGAAAAGTAATCAATATTCCAAGATCTCCTGTGCGTAGGCGCAGCGTTATTTTCAAAGAACAAGCCATGTAAACAAGCGAGTGGATCAGACGCCTTTACGGAGCCTGCATACCTTAAAGTTGAATCTTTTAACAAATCAATAGGATACATATTTATAAACCAAAACCTAAGTACCTGTGGTGCTTACTTTTGTAAAACTATACACGCTATAACTTGTGTCAGTTAAAGATGCAGTTGGAAATTTATTTATTTGGTTTAACAAAAAAAAGTTACGAAAATGCTGTAAATTACACAATTGAATTCGAACGCGTTATAAGGATGTCAAATTTTCCTACTAGGAAAGTATTGCCTCTATTTGAATTAATGTATCACCTGACACCGTCGCTACTTATTGATTGATAAACAAGAATGACGTCGAGAAAACGAGGTAGACTACTGTACTGTTTGGTATACAACTACATTTAACATGAATGGCAAACGTCTTTCTCTTAATGACAGCTATCTCTTAAAGCAACCGGTAATAACCATCTACTCTGTACAGTAATGACAGATATTTAACCTTTTTTCATAATCGTACTCAAAATTCAACGTACCTCGTGGTCTGTGATTTCCCGCGGACATGCGTGTTTAGATTGTTTACGCACTTCCTTCATCAATATTCAGGAAAAGGCAGCAATTTTTAATTGCGATCTTTCTTAATTGCTTTGTAATTACAACGACTTAATAAGTAAAATTTTGTGGAAAAACATTTTTTCCATTACACAACGTTTTTCAAATAATTTAATCATTTTGTTTCATATGAAAAAAACGGCGTTTCTATATAATTATAATAGCGTGTAAGGCTTTAACCAAAAATTCCTTTGAACCTACATTGTATGTGTTGCATGTAACTGGAACAAACGTTTCTCGCTGAAATACCACCGCTTTCGACTTCACATTTAAAGGCCTCATAAAATAGTAGATCTAATATCATCTATCAATTTATTATCAATTTAATTATAGATTTCCAGAATTTTATTGTTAATCCAATGTAAACATTCAAATGTTGGGGCTAGGCGAACTTTCATAACCTAACTTCTATGTCACTGCGTGTCACAACACAGTGATACGACGGGTAATTCTTGTAATATTTTTATTCGAACATTCGTCTCAAATGTAAATTAAAGTAATCAAAAACAGGTGTAAAAAGTTCACGGGGAAAAGATGTTGGTTCAGGTTTGTATGGGATCAAATTTACTGAGAAGGATTTTTGATCCTATGACCGGCTAAGTTCTTTTTTAACTTTGATCTTTATTTTCTCAATTAAAACAAATTCAAGACTTTGAATATTTTATTTCTATCCATGTTCTAATAATTGCCATTAGATGGAATATATTTTTTCATAGAACATTTATGCAAATATTGAAAGCTGTAAACTGTTGGAGAGCACTTACCGGAATGATCGTGTTCCCAGTTACTAAACGTCAGCTTGTCATTAAGCCCATGCTAAAAGAAAAAATATAATTGACGCTATTCTTCGACTACATGTAACTTAAAATCCCTTTTTCGAGCAAAGATAATGTCTGTAACACTTTCATTTTTAGGTAATTTAAAAATTTTGTTTTCAAGGTTTTATGAAATTTTTACTTGTTTGATTTATTTGCATATAAAGAGCATGAATTAAAATAAATTAGGTACATGCTTTAACCTCTCGAGCTCGCAATCTCCAAAATTACAGCCGGTGTTAAAAGAAATTGTTTTCTTGGTTCAGTACATATGTAATTAGGTAATTAATCACTATGAGATTTGATGCTCTACTTTTAGAATTAAACCTAGGTTAAACTGATGGAAGTGGATTATTATTTACATTTTTTTCTTTTTCTTTTTTTCTGCTAATCGTATTAGTAAATAAAACTAAAGTCAAAACAATTGAGGCTATACAAATTGAGAAAAATAACCATGGTTTCATATTATTCTCCATTGAAATACAACTATTAAAATGTTTTTTAAAAAAAACGCCCATATTTTAGAAGGATTGAGATGCGATAAAATATTAATAACTTTCATTGTAAATTTCACATTGTGTACACGTGACTAAATACAAACCTTTCCCTTTGCTGACAGAACGCTGACAAGGACCTTCTTCAGATTCAATACGTCCATCTTTTCTTCACGATGGCGTGCTATTTCTTTAATCAAACCATCCTCGGATATAGAAAATTCGAACCTAAATTTTTGATAGTTCAATCTTACAAAGAATTTGAAAAATAAATCTCCGAATTGTTAAAATTGAAAAAAAATAAGAAAAGGTAATAATTTTATATCAATTTGATACCATAAAAATTCACAAAGAAAATACCCTTTTTTGAAGTTATATTCTACTGGATTGGTCTTTCCTGAAATTTTGAATTAAAATAAACAAGGACACTCACTAAATACTATTAAGTAAAAAATTAAAAAAAAAGAAAAAAAAGGCGTTATCTTAAAAAAAAAAATAAGTTGAAGATGATTCAATATTTTAAGATTAACTGATATATACATTGATGTATGTATTAAATGCAACAATTACTGTTGCATGTTTGATATATAATAGAAAACTATCATTCTGATAGATTATAATTATAAATACAAATACTTCTCCCTCCTGCAGACTGGGTGAAGCTATCCACAAGTAGTTGACAGATAAGAGAACCGTTCCTTCTTTCTTCTGGTCTAACACGGAACTGTTTAATAAAAAACAAAAGCATATATATATATATATTGGGGTGGATGGGGTGTCATTTTGTACATGTAGCATACACTGACAGTTATATATCATTTTAATCACAAACTTAAAGAAGTAACGCCAGCGATATTACCGGTATATGCAGAATTGCACTGCAGATATTTTCGCACCGTGGCACATGTCATCGGCGACATTAAGTACACGTACAGCGTGCCAATTTTCGCCTTGTTTTTCCACTGCAGAATAGGTGACAATGTATGTAAGACACGTTATTTCCTACATAGAAATGTCATGAGCACATAACAAAGAAAAAAAGCTCCATCCCAACAGTAGTGTAGAATGACCACAGGAAACAAATGGCTTTGTTAAAAAATATTGCAATATTCAAGTTGGCTGCAAAAAAGTTAACATGAAACTAGTCATACGATATCATCCTGAAATATGATTACAAGATTTCTCGATCTATTGTGTTATTTGTAATAGAAAGGAAGAAACGTATCTTGTGAAAACTGATATATATATATATATATATATATTTTTTTTTTTTTTTTTGCTTTACACTTCCAATTCTATTGACTTTGAACAATGAGAAATATACGTTTATATATAAATTATATATATATCAAGATTCAATTGTTGTATTGAAAGGAAATATTTTCATGCATATGAAAAAAAGAAATAGTTCCTTAAAATAATGTTGTTTTTTTCAAGTTGGTAACAACAAAGTGTGTAAGTATTATATCTTCCTAGTATTCAGGAAACTTATGAACAATTTAAATTGCTAATTTTAAGACCGTTTTTCTAAATAGGTACATTGTACTAGATATTTTCCTGACTAATATGGAAGAGGAAATTTATTAAAATTTTAGCTTGAACTTACAAGCAGAATTATTCAATTTACTAGTATGATATTCAAATGTGGCCCCTGAACTAAGTTTATCTTTGGTTGGATTTCTCATTATGCAAATCTTGATCCCTTTTTTATCAGTCGGTAAACAATTAAGATTGACTTTTGAATTAGTAAGATTCGTTTTTTTTTTTAAATCTATATTTATTTTTTAAAGATCTGTTTCATGGCTCTTCAATCAATGTAACGTAAATTTACGCATAAAGAGTACAATATTGTACTTACTTTCACAATTTCAGATGAATATGTTTAACCAGATATGAATATTTACAATGAACAGTTTTTCTTTTGTTGTGTATACGAGAACAAAATCTTGCAATTTTTGCAAAAACAAACAAACAAAAAATGACAAAAACAAACAAACAAACAAACAAAAACAAACAAAAACAAACAAACAAACAAACAAAACAAACAAAGGAAAAACAAGACGAAAAAAAAAAAAACAAACGCTTAACCGTTAATATGCATTTCTCTGCTTTGTTGCAACCGTTCATTCTGGTTTTAAACTGAAAGCATTTTAAATTTTAATATAATCGGATTTGATCTTTCTTCAACATTCTGAGTGAGACTTTACACAATATTTGTGGTTAAATTAAGTTTCTTTATCGTCCATCCTAAAATATGTGACTGTGTTAACGTCAGAGGGCATGGACATAATTTTAGTAAAAAATTTACTAAGATACTGTATAAAACATAATGACAAAACCAAATTTCAAAAACTGAAGCAAAGTTTTTATGACTTCTAAAATTCATTTTCAAACAAGTTTACGTTTACGTTTTTGACTTCATTGTCACCTGACTGATATGTCACTAGGGTTGACAGCTTTGATGAAGAAAGCAGATGTGCCAAAATCGAAGCGAGACAATTAACATCGAAAATGCAAAAGACCAGAAGAGCGAACTAAATTCAGAATTTAATAAAGGCAGGATCATATGTTTTTACCGCGTGGACAAAGGTTACGGTCCTTTAAAATAAGTGGAAATTCGTCTCACTGTGGATGTAAACAGGGACGTTGGGAGTAAGATTTATGTAAATGCAGAGAGATTTGTATGTGAAAATATTTTTTATCCCAACATTAGATCTTTACTCCTACAAAAAAAATTGCTTAGACATAAACAGATTTCTTAAATAGATGTGATACCGGGTGATGATTTTCTTTTTAAAAAAATTCGTGAAACTTTTTTTTTCCTTGGTGGCGCTTAAAATCAATATGAAAGAAAAAAAGTCAGGAAATTGATAAAGAAATAAAATGTACGTTTTATACTAAAAAATATGATCGGACAAATAATTAATAACATGCACTAAATTTACAGGCTATGTAGCAACTGCTAATGATAAAACGCCTCTGAATGATAGAAATATCTTTAAGCGGTTGTCAACAATTAACATGATTAATGCAATAATTTATGACATTAAGCATTGCATTGCAACGTTTAATGATATTTCTATCATTAAGCGGCGTTTCATCAATAGCGGTTGCTACAAGGCTATGTGAATATTTGTTTTGTCTCACTATATGTCTCTTGATATTGGCAAATATCCTGACATATATTTGATTGATATCTTGAGTGGTAAACAAGTCAGGCCCAAAAAACATGCTAAAAATGTAAGAAGTGCAACACCTTTCTGTGACATAAAAAATTCCTATTTTTGAAGATCTGCGAAATAAATAACAATTATGGTGCATGTTGAAAATAAAGACTTTTCTGATAAAATTCAATATATTGAGCATAAAATCTAGACAATAGTAACTTAAGTTTGTTTTTAACTAGATGTTGAAATAAAATGTTATTCCATGACAGGATAAACAAAAAAATGTTTTGTTGCCAGAAAACATTATTTTTTAAAAGAACTTTTTGACAATAAAGGGAAAAAAATTGAAAGTGTAAAACAATAATTGATATACCGTTTAAAGGCTTTGAATGTTTTATGAATTACAAGCAGCATTTTTAAGACTCCAGTTATTTATGTATACCCATTTATGTCAGGAGTGTAACAATTGATGATTTGCTCCCCAACTTGTAAAAACTTTCATCAGTGTATATTCTTTTTCTTTCTGATATATTTCTGATATAAAAACAAATACCCAGATAACATATTTATTCTATAATTATAAGATCTCTCTGCGTTTGAGATCCATATTTCCCCCTGTCAGGAGTACAAGACCTTTTTCTTAAATATTCAAGTCTAAAGAGGAATTACTTTACATTTATTCATACTAATTATTTATAATTTGATCAATTAGCTGCTTTTTAATTGATTAAAAACTAAACTAATGCCACTGCCATTATTGGAAAGAGTTACTACCTCAGTTTTATCAATTCATAAGCGGTTATACATTTTCTTTTAATTCATTAAATTTAGAAACAAAATACTGAAAAATTGTTATAAATTTAAAAACTTTAATTTAATGTAACAAACAGAGCATGATTTGATGTAACTTAAACGTCAAATTTCTTTTTTAAAGTCTTACATTTGCATGGTCAAAAGTGAATTATCAGTGATCAAATTATAAATACTGAACAAAAAATGAGGAATAGTTCCGGTAATGGCGCCCGAGCGAATAGGTCGCATTTTGTGACAGAGCGGTGGAGTGGCCGTTCTAGTGCATATTTGAAGAAGTTGGGTGTTTGGATGGGATGTTTTGTGGTCAAGGTCCGATCTCAAAAAAAAAAATCTCAGACTCCACAGAACAGTAGTCAAAAACAGGAGAAATCAGAAAAAACGTCAGAGGAAATGCTGTCAATTCAGACGCAACTCACTGAAATAAAAAACGATCTAAAAAAATCAATCAAAGTTGATGACATTAAAGATATCATCAAAAATGTCGTAAATGAGCTATTCTCCAACTATTTAGGAAAATTTGAAAAGAAAATGAACGATCAAATTTCGCAATTAAAACAAGACAATCACAAGCTATCACAGGGTATTGAACAGCTAAAAAAAGAGAACTCGGAGCTTAAACGGGAATTAAATGAAAGAGACGAAGCGCTAAATGATGTACATAACAGAGTAGAGGAAAACGAAAAGTTGGTCAAAATTGCTGCTGCAAAAGCGAACTATAACAAACAATACTCTAGAAAGACAAATATCAAATTTTATGGTTTTCCCGAAACACAGGGTGAACACTTAATAGAAAAGCTTAACGAGGCATTAGGAGAAGTGGGCGTGGCAATATTGGAAACTGACGTGCTGGCTATTCACCGCATTCCATCAGGACAAAAAGACCAGCCTCAACCAATAATCGTCAAAATGCGTAACCCTGAAGCCAAAGCGAACATAATGAGGAAAAGATCCGAAATAAAAGACCTGAAAAAGGGATGGAGAGTCGCTGACGATGTGACGCGGGATAACGCTATCCTAATATCCAAACTCAGTGAAGACCCAAGAATCACCGCGGCGTGGTACTTTAATGGTGCTGTATACGGACGATGTGGAAAACGTAGAATCAAGTTTGATATTTTTGACTCAATAGATGAAAGAATTCGGAAAAAAATGACTTTGATCGAAATTGGTTTGCAACATATATGTATACAGTCAAGAACACTTCCGGTGATGAGTGACATACATGTAACGGCTGGGTAAAAATGCGCTATCAATGAGCCGCTCAGGTGTCTACTGGAATTATGCTACTTTATTTTTTCGTATTTTTGTGTTTGTCTTTGTCAGTGTGTGAAAGATGTATGTGTGAATTAGGTTGGACTAGTATCATAGTAAAGTGTACCAAAGTACATGCACTAAGTCAATCATTTTTTAGATACCTTTTACATATACCTCCCATTGTCTGTACAGTACACTCAGGGTGGATATTAACTGAAAAATATTGTTTACTTTGTCTAAAATGTACATACTTTTAATGAGCTTTAGCATTATGTTTTTAAACTGTAGAGGTCTTGGGGGATTAGAAAAAAGGAGAGATGTACTTAACTACATTAAACAAAAACATTTTTCTGTTTACTTTTTACAAGACACACATTTCACTATGAACGATTACAAGTTGAAGACGAGTATCATTTTATTCTGGTTTGTCCGTTTTTTTCCGATGTTAGAAAAGAGTATATTAAGAAATATTATCACCAAAAACCATCTA